AATTACAGCTATTCTTATAGCAAGTTCAATTTCCTGTTTCCAGGCTTTCAGTAAGGGTATTGCATTACTTTTCTGTTTTAATAAGATGATCCAATTTATTCTTATAATATTATCAATAATGAGAAAAAAATATCTGTGTTTTTGAATAGTCTTCGGAAAAGGATTAGCAATATTGAAATAAATCAATTCTAGTTTTTTAGATTTCTGTATACTTAATTGGCTTGGGATTCTGTTAATTATCTTTATAAGAATATATATTTTACAAATATTCAGAATTAAAGAAATCTTGATTAGTTTTTGGAGTATAATGATTTTATATAGATTTCTAATCTTATTAAAGTCAAGATAATTGAATTGTCTATATTAAAGAAGGTATCTTTCCTTTTTTATTATAATCAATTCTTCAATTTTTTTTTTTATTTTATTAATTATTTTTATAAAGAATGTAAAGAATATAGAATCCTTATATTTTAGTTTTATATATGAAATGATATATATTCTATCTTTTATTATGATTTTAATAATTTTATTATTCTTATTATTTTTTGATATAAAATATATCTTCTTGAGATTGAATATACCCTTAAGTTTTGTTTTATAAATTCTTTTAATTGAAAGTAGGTTAACCCTTAATCCTGGTATATATAATATTTCAGCTAATAATATTCTTATTCCATTCTTATATATTATATTTATTATTCTTTGTTTATCTGAATATACAATTCCTTTATTAACTGTTATTCTTTATTGTAGAGTATAGGTTAAACTTCTAAAAAGAGAATATTGATTAGATATGTATGAGGTGGTATTGGTATTAGTGTATTATTGTAATGAGGATATTTTACTAATACTTTCCTTAGTAAGATAATAATATTTAGAGTTAGATTTATTATTAACAATACTTTTAATAATATTAGAGCTTGATTTAGCAATATAAGTTTTATACTCTCTATACTTTTTGTTTCTTTATAATAGAAAAGTGAATTATTTTCTCTTTTGTTTATACTTTGAATCGAATTTCAAAAGATATTTGATATATCGAAACTAAAAGCATTTTAGGATTGAGTAATTAGGTTTATTGCAAAGTTTGCAAGTGATAATGGGTGTATCGGACTCTAAGCTTGTACTAGCTTTATATTAATGATAAGATAGAATATATTTCTTTCTCTTTGCAAGATATGCTGTATCTCCAGAGTTTTGTATCTCGATTTCTTTAACCTGTAAATGCTTGATTTTATTATCAATATTTAAAGTAGAACCAATAATATGAATCATATCAATAATGATTTTGTATTTATTAGGGAGAGACAAGATCAAGCTTTGAAAAAGTGATTTATCTGTATACAAAGCTCTAGCTGAAGTATCTATAGATAAGAGTTTTTTTCGAAGATTCTTGAGCTTATTCTATATATCTATAATAGTTATATTAGGGGTATTATTGAAAAAGAAGGTTTTAATTTTAAGGAAATATTTATCTACTATTATATTATTGATTCTAGAGTATTTAATGATTAAATAATCCCAAAGTTTCTTTACTATATTATATTCATCTATTAAAGCCTTATCATTATTAGATAATAAATAACAGATATAAGATAATACACTAATATTATTCTTAAGAAAGATGATCTTTTTATTAATATTGAATTGAATTTTTATTGTAGTACTATCACTGTTACTAAAGACTTAGAGTTCTTCGAAATCCTTAGCTAATTTATTGATATCTGCAATCTACATATATTCCTATAATGTTTTTTTATATATATAAAACCAGCCTTTTCCTTAAAGTTGAATTTTTATTTAATAAATCCAGTGTTTATAATTCTCTTAAATAAAGAAAGGAATACACTTGAAATAATCCTTGAATCCAATATCTTCATTTATTTTGAGATTCTATAAATAGAAAACTTATATCAATAACCTATATATATTTTGATAATAAAATAAAAGAGTTGAAGAGAAAAAGGAATTATTTTAATTAAACTCCCCCAGTTTTGAATATACTAATATTACAAGGAGAAATTCTCTTTAAGACGGGGTAATTGAAAATAGTGAATTTTGATTTGTAAATAATGATTTTTAGAATAATATCGAATACTATATAATTGGTAATACTTTTCAACATTAAACTGGAATGAATAGTTCTTTCAATAATAACTTATAGTTTTTTTATTTGAAAGAAGAATACAATATAAATAATTACTTCACTATTATATTTGAGAAAGGGGTGTAATATAAATAATTACTTTGCTATTACTACTCAGCAATCTGTTTGTTGTGTATACCTCATATATTGATATTGCATTGTATAAAAGCTTCTCATTATCAATCTTTACTTTAGCAATATAAGCTATTCAAAGAGCTTTCAGCTTTAGTTTTATTATAGAGCTACCGGGCTTATAACCTGTTTACAATAAAAAAACAGGTTAATAGAATATATATAATATTGATTATGTAGATTGATTATACTAAGGTAAAATCTAACTATGAAGTGGAAGTGATATATGCACAGTAGCGTAGCGCACGTGCCACAACTTCCAACAATTCTTATTAAGTCCACTAAAAGGATTTAATAAATTAAAAAATAAAGCTTTAAAGCTAAATAAAGCTTTATATAATTTAAAATAATTGGTTAGAATATAATATTATATTCTAAAAGATATATTAAATAAATTAAGCTTTATAAACCTAATCTCTAAGGAATATATTTTTATTAATAAAAATAAGAATATAATTCTAAGTATATACATTAATGATATTGTTATAATAACTTTAAATTAAGAGATTATTAATGAATTTATTAATAATCTAAAGAAACACTTTGATTTAAAGGATCTAGATTTTATAAAGAATTATTTAGGTATTCAAATTGAAAGAATTAATAATACGCTAAAGCTATATTAATCAAAATATATTAAAAAAATACTTACTAGATTTAATATACTAAATTCCAATCCTATTTCTATTTCAATAAATCCGAAAATAAAACTAATTCATAATAAAAAGAAAGCTAATAATAATAATATTAAACTATATCAAGAAATTATAGGTTTCTTATTATATTTAACTCTCAAAATTAAACTAAATATAATATTTTCTATATCTAGATTAGCTAATTTTTCGTCCAATTCTAGTACAGAATATATTTAAGCTATTAAAAGAGTATTGAGATACTTGAAAGGAACTATAAATAAGGGTACAAATTATATTAAAATTAAAAACCCTTATATTCAAGAATTCTGTGATGCCGATTATAAAGAGAAGATCAATATATATAAATCTACTAGCGAATATATATTTATACTAGGGAATAGGCTTATTAGTTGGAAATCTAAATTATAGCTAGTAGTAGCCCTTTTTATAGCCAAATCTGAATTTATTACTATAAATCTAATTGTTAAAAAAGCTATTTATATTAAAAAGCTATTATTAAAGCTTAATTTATATAAGTAAAATAAATTTCCATTATATACAAATAATTAGGCTGCGCTAATGCTTACTAAAAACCCTATATTCCATAAAAGAAATAAGTATATAACAATCAGATTCTATTATATTAAGGATATTATTAAATTAAAAAATTTAGACCTAATTTATATATTCATTAATAAATAAAAAGCTGATGGGCTTACTAAACTATTAATTCGAATCAAATTAATTGAATTCATGAATCAGATCAATCTGAATTAAGATATATAATAAGATTGATTTAATATATCTATTAAAGAGATATATAAGGATTTATAATAAGTCTACTAAATCATTTACTAATATCTTATCAAATAAGGGATATATTAATAACTAATACATATATAATATAATCTTATATTATAAAATCATATTATTATATAATTATATAATAATATCTCTTATCAAATTGATTTATAATAGAATAAAATGAAATGGAACTAGATGGAAGTATACAGGAAATCTCGCTAAATTGATTGGTTGTACTTTCTTTTTATTATCTAGAATGATTCTATAAGATACGATTTAAATCGATCTTATTTATAAGTATGGAATATACTGGAATTTCATTATAAACTATATAAACCTAGAATATTCTTTAAAGAAACTCTAGGAAAAAGCAAGCAATTTCATCTCAACTCAGCCTAGCTCTTCTAAATTGACTTCAATTCAACTCTTATTTTATATATTCGATTTATCCCTACAGCTTAAACTGACTAGATCTTCCACTATTCTTATAATACTATTATTCCTTCTTATTATAAGAGCTAACCTCCAAGAATCACAATCTCTCGAGATGCGATTGGAAGCAACTTCCAATTACCACATTGATCTATTTATCTACGGAGTAGCCATTTCTCAATCCGGAATTCTCTCCGTCTAACGGGTCGGCTTTATCACCCATACTTGTGAATGTCAGATGCTGATGACATGCGTCTTTTGCCATCAAGAAGCGCTCGCTTCCTCGGGAAATGGTGTCCACCAGTGGTTGCACGGACTCACGGGACAACGTAACAGGAAAGCACAATTTCATACCAAAAAGAGTGATTTTAATAATTCACTTAAAATTCAATAAATAATTAAATTCTTTTGAAATTGTGATATATAGTTTTTCAAACATCAAAAACTAATTTATTAAAGATTTGTTCTAAAAAAGTAAAATTTGAGCTCAAAAATTCAATAATGCGTTTTCCTACCAAATTTTTTAGTAAAAGATTATATATTCTATTATCAAGACTTCAATTTGAATTATTTTAATTTAAAATTTATTCTGTATAAAATCTTTATACTTGAAAACTACATATTTCAATTTCAATCAAATTGAATAACAATTCCAATTTTAATTGAATTATTAAAATCGCTCTTTTTGGTATGGAATTGTGCTTTCCCTCTTGAGTGTCCCGTGAGTCTGTGCACCCACTGGTGGTCGCACTGGTGAGGAGGGGGGTCAAATCGTTGTACAAGTTGCGGTTCAGGGTAACCTTACGCGTCCCTGAAAAAAATCATTTGAGATTATCCATGAGCTACGACTACCAAGGGTCTCGTAGATATCTGGGAATGGGTACCCAATGGGATATCGTATGGATAATTTGAGTAGATCCAAACGAATTCCTATTAAAGCAGGTGCCCAGCGATTGTGCCCTTTTCTCCCCTCCCCTTAATCTTCTTTCTTTCCAAGTTTTCAATCTAGGTGAATACATCAATTGTCTCGAGTATCACGGTGCTTTGTGAAAGGGAATGTTGAGGTTATGAAACGCGCCACTAGAGTGGCTATCGTTGCGATAGTACTCTTTTTCAATCTTCTTTTCGTGTTTTTTCATCTGCGCAATATCTTTACTGTTTTCGATATCGTGGGTGCGTCAATCGATGGGTACATTCCTCGGCCAGTGAAGACCGGACAAGATAGAGCTGTGGTGATTCCGCACTTAAAGACTGAAGACATAAGCTGGGTTGAGGAGTTTTTACCTGAGTGAGTGAAACTCATATCAATGCCCCAATTGCGAAATACTTATGACCAATACTAATTGTCATGAAATGTAAAGTTGGCAGTCATACATTTACGCTGTTGACGATCCAGATGCCAAACTACATACGCGAAACAAAGGCCATGAGTCAATAGTGTATCTCACATATATTATTGACAATTACGATAAGCTTCCTTCGATAAGCGCTTTCCTCCATGCCCACCAAAATGGTTGGTGAGATGCATGGCACACAGACGTAGCTGGTCACGATAACGTTATTTCTTTAAACACTCTCAACCTTGATTTTGTACAAGAACAAGGCTACGTAAATCTTCGATGTGCTTTGAAGCCCGGCTGTGCACTATCAGATGTTGCCCCTAACACACACATCAACCCGGAGATCTGGATGCAAGTATTCGGGAACGATACGGCTATGCCCGCAGAGATCGGCGCAACATGTTGTGCTCAATTTGCGGTTTCGAAATTACAGATATTGCAAAGAAAAAAGGAGGAGTACATACACTATCGGGATTGGGTACTCCAAACTCCATTACCGGACCGAGAAAGTGGGAGAGTTATGGAATATCTTTGGCATATCATATTTGGGAGGGATGCCATGCATTGCCCAGAGCCCAATCAATGTTATTGTGACGTATATGGCAGGTGCGATCAATGATTATTTGGGGGGAAAATTTTCACACGTCAAGCTTTAGGATATGAAGAATTCTATTTGCGATATCTACCATGCTTTCTTTACATCTTTCATGACGAGATCCGAGAGAATTGAAATCTTACCGGTACTGGTACTCGATACTTGGGCAATTTCGGCGACCGAAGATGATTTTCCAAGATTTGAGGTGCCGCTATATTCGTGCATTTAGCTAGTTATTCTCTTCCGCTTATACCCCACCTTCCTACTCGGGTTGAAGATTCAAAAGGAGACGTCAAGATGATTCCGTAACGTACCTTGATAATTTGGTTCGATCCGCAGTTTCTATCAAGTGTTGACACTATCTCCAGATCAGATTGTTGTCGTCATTGTCATGTCGTCAATGTATGAACTGTGAAAATTGACTACTTGACTCATCTCGTGACCCCACGAACTCAAAAGATGTTCTTGTTTTGGGATTTAGCTCAAAAGTTGTCGATCACTATGTTGTGCAGTAGTTGACGTTCGTCACTAGCCAAAGTCTATTTGAGCCTTGGCGGCCGTTTATTTGCTGCTTCACATGTTTTTTCTACTACCACCCACTCAACGGCTAAAGATTGTGCGTTTAAGGTTCAAGATCTCGGGGCTGGTGTGAGTAAATCGCTTTTATCAATTAGTATACCCCATTGGCTACTTCATCCTTTGTGGGGGTATTTTGTGTTAGTAGTCAATAGCAGTTCAATAGTCGGAGGTTTCACTAGCCTTTGTGGGGAAATGCAAAAATCTTGGCCTTCATCACTTGTGTCACTCATCCAAAGTCCGGAGCTGTATCGGACATCGAATTTCTGCTGTGTTGACGTTTGCTGAACATCGTCCGTCATAATAATCCGCTTTCACCCGGAATTGGTGTATCGAGTGAACACCTGGGTTTTCCAGATTATACAGCGCTGTTAGAAATGAATATAGAACGTGCGGCTATAATAGATCAAATATTATCTGGATGCATAGCATTACTAATTCTATACCCTTTTCACACCTACAAGAACGACTGCTTCTGCGTATATGCAGAAATACCGCGAGTTTCATACATTTCTGAACTGTTGCATATTGGCGTAAAAGTAATTTAATTGATAATTTTCTAGTAGGAGTGTTCTATAGCGGAAGGGGATCATGATTCATACATGGAAAACTACATTGGCTTCTGATAGAATGAGGTTTTGAGACTATTTCATTAAAGTTCGCTCACTATATACAAACCAACAACTGGCCCGCAAGACTTGACCGGCTATTGCCATAGCAACTCCTTAGCGTTTTTACGACATCTTCAATTTGTTAAATGACTCTGCCTATCTTTACACGAGCTTCTTTTGGAGGACTTTAGCTCTCCCGTTGCGGGTGTCTATTATGACATTCTTACCCTTCATTATTGGAGCAAGTGACCGGGATCACAGCTTTCCGAGATGTTCAGCAGATGAGATTTCTCCTCTCCCATCGACTCTCTCTAGTTCACTCCTTAAATCTAATTTAGATCGTTCTCGGCACCCGTCATGGAGGTTCAAGTCACATTTAAATTCACACTATTTTCTACTTCAAAAAGATCTATATATGTACTCCATTTCCTCCCGTAATTTTCGGCTCCGATTTTAGGAAGCTAAGAATACATTTTTGTTTATATAGGACACATTGTCTGTAATATCATACTAAGATTTGCTTGATTCTCTATGTTCGTTATTTTCAAACTTCAATTCCCAACCCAACATCAAACATATCCGCTCTTGTGATCAATACACATGAAGGGTCTTTCACGATTGCTCATTATCGGGGCATGGGCCCCGAATCTTGTCTTTTCTGCGATCGTGAATGGCAGGCTCAGCATTACAGAAGGAAATGCATCAGCCATCGTCCCTTCGGTCGCTGCAGATGATAGTGTCAGCACCGTAGAGAGAACTGGAGAATGGAAACCTAATGAACTGGTGTTAATAGCTAATAATGGAAGCTTCAAAATGATTAAAGATAATATGAACAAGATCCCCGATTGGGTCCAGAAATACAAAGATTGGGAAGCTTTGGCACTGCAGGACACTGCTAGTGCGAAGAGTCTCTCGGCTCGGTACGGAGAGGAAAAGCTCGGCATGCCTCACTGGTTTTGTGATCCCGACAATGGTTGCTCTTCATTGCCAAGTCCTCTGAAGATCTTGCAATTTGTGGATGCCACGGAACCGGAAATGCCTCGGGACAAGAGGCTCGAAGAAGCTCAGGGAAGATACTGGGCCGCTATGAGCTACTACATGACCTTCCGCACTGCATCTCACACACTAGTAAGTCTATTCATGATTGCTCAACATTCCTTGGTACTAACAACTGTCAGAACGCGCTCAAACGCGCCCAGGATTTTGTGCTGCCAAGAATCGACACTATCATCGTAGACTTTACCAAGCAAGGCAACAGCAAAGCAATTCTCCAATGCAAGATCAAAACCTTTTTTATCGATATGACATATCAATTCACGGAAAAATTCCTCATGTTGAGTTTGACAAAAGCGACCGGCTTTGAAGGTAAATGGGGGAATGTTGCCACTAAGTTCGAAAAGGCTGAGCCGTTTTACATTCTCAGTATGGTCAGACAGATTATAGATTTTACATTACCAATGGAGCATGACTACAAGTATAAAAAGTTTGGAGCAGGCAATGACGGAGATGATTCTCTCGAATTCTTGCGCCTCACAAGTATGACATATACGAGTGACCTTTACTGTGGCCACATAGATGGTCAGGCTGCTGATGGAAGCGATACTATGACTCGTATCAGCGACTCCAAATATCACATAAGTGAAATCATGAAGCAATATATCAAAGACATTAGTGGCGTCTTCAGAGCGCTCAATGGACATGGGGAAGTAGATTTGGATCTGAAGATGAGCGATTGGATGTTGAACGCCAATTATGATGAGATGGTTCACCGACTCGACCGTGTTGACATCTCCGCGGAAGCTCAAAAGTTTAGCCAAACGATCTCAGGTTATTTAATTTCTGCTGGTTGGGCTAGCAACAAATGTTACATGAAGTGCCAACCCAAAATGTTTCGAGACACTGTTCAGACAAGATGCTTCGATGCGAAATTTGCCGCAGATAGATTCTGTCCTGAAGATGCGCCTGATACATTGTGTCAAGTCAACTGTTACACGATGCTGGACTCTGGAAATCATGAAAAGAAACTCATCGGCATCGAAAAGCTCCCCAAGCACGGGTTCGATATAGAAAATATCAAGAGAGACTCTTGGGAAAACTACAAAGAACTGAAAAGGCTCAGAAAACCCCAGATGGATTACGTCAATGGCAAAGAATTTACATTCGGCGCAGAAAACAGATCAGCCCTCATTCTTTCTGTATCTTTGTCCCGCACCAACATAATCTCCGATAAGCCGACAAAGTCTTTGAACTTCCCATGTTTCAGTGGCCAGGACTATAGAGGTCTCGATACTGAACAACACTTGATTAATATGAATATGGGATTTGGTTCCACGGATTGGGGAGGAGGAGGAAAAGGAAAAGCTCGTGTTTGGGAAATGTTTCAACAGCATTGTCCAGAAGTAAGTCAAGAATCCCAATTTTGAATTCATCCGCTAACCTCAATTCTAGCAAACCCGCGAAATGCCTCCCCTTACCCGCTATCTTAACATGGTTTGTGGACAACGACTCAAGTGGCCTGATAAATCACTTCGAGACGGACTCGTACACCGCCGAGTGATGCAACCGGACCTTGAAGGAAAGAACTTCGAAACCTGCAGAACACTCCGGGAAAAAACCGAAGACATGGACGAAGAAACCGCAAACCATCTCTTCTGCCACGGATACTGGCCCGAATCCGCCACAATTTTCGCCAACGAAAGATCGTGGGTTTACACCGATTGGAACCACCGCTGGCATCGTGGTTCCGGCCTCAAATTCATGTGGCACCATAAATTCAGATGTCACCTCCATCGTAAGGGCAATCAAAATTTTCGCCCCGATCAGAAGTGGCTGGAGATGAATTGGTCTAATGATCCCTCGAAGGTGGTTGGTGAGGGGGACAATATTAATGGTACGGTGCTGGAGTTGGATTCTGAAGACTTCAAGGCCATGGAAGATATGCCTACTGATGCGGAGGATATTGATCCCGAGGCCACGGAGAGGTTGAGACATATCATTGAGGAGTTTAGTAAGGAAATTATCAGGACCAAGTCGATTCAGTCGAGTTGATAGGAAGAGAGAAGTGGAAAAAGGAATGTGGAAGAGAGAGATACCTTTAATGTGTAATGTGGCAGGAAGTAAAAGTTGAGGTTGTGGTGATAAGAGATGTATCTCTCCCCGTTGTCAGAGAGATCAAAATCACATAATCACATAGGACTACACACCATGTATCATCAAATATCATGTCAAATACAATCTCTTTTAACATGCAAGATACTTTGCAACAATAAATGATCTTTCGCAGGGTCCAAAACACTAAGGGATATAACCAATTCATACTATACATGGTATATGATACATAATACATAAAAACGTCTAGCTCATCTACAAAAATATAAATGGGAAACCATCTCTTTCATCTACTTTCTAATCCAGTCAAAAGTGACTCTAGCAAATGCTTGAGAGGGAAAATCTATCAATCGATAGAATATTTCCGCGCTTGGAGTGACCGTCAACAAGCATACAAAGAAACAAGCTGTGGTTGCTGCTTCAAATGATGCGTTTCTTGTTTCTGTGAGATGGGTGAAGAGTTTAATGCCCACGGAGTAAATGATGATGCTCTGTACAAGAAACCAGCCTATTGATTGTTAGCTTTGGCGCCACGAAGAGGAAATAGTGAATGAGACTTACTGAGGGATCGTCTACCCAAATACATTAGGAATGGATTGCGGAAAACCGCTTGTGGGAAACTCCAGGTCTCCAAGATCAGGAAGGTTCCAAGCAAGAATAGATAATTATCATCTCTGGCCATCGGAGTGCCGGGCTCCATTACCACATCATTTAATCCACCAGTCGAGTACTCGCCGGTATGGATTCTGACCTCCTTGTAAACATCTTGGGGTCTCCATGCTGCCCAAATATACATCATGATCAAACCTGCCAAGGTAAGAATGGTATACAATGGCCAGACGGGCATTCTCCACTTTCTGCCTCTCCAAGTTCCTAGCGGAATTCCCGCACGGGCACGCATTTGGAAATTCATATTGATGCTCATATCAGCCAATAAGAGACCAGTAATTGAATACCAAGCCCAACTATCAACCCACCATGCGGTAGCAATGAATCCAATGAAAGCCTTGACTCTCCATGACTTTCGCACATAGGGAATGATGACCATCGTCATGTAGACCGTATAGCTTTGTTGGAAGAGGACGGAGATAACCCAAAGAGTTTGCGAGGGAAAAGCATAGTTTGCTGCTTGGAGGTCGAATTTCTTATTCGTCCAGAAGAGAATGAAGACCGAGTTAAAGTATGCAAGAGCATTCGGGATCATGTAGGGAGTATCGATGGTAGTATTGTTCGTAGCGGTCTTGAACTCATCGATATACGACGTTCCAATACAGGTGAAAACGATGTATATGATAGCGAGGGAAAATGCAGAAGGGAACCAGAGACGTAAGCCTCGGCGGAAAGATGATGATGCGACGAAATCGTTCGAGGGTTTGTTTAGGAATGGTGTGCAGATTGTGCGCGCAGAGATGAGAATGAATGCTGAATAGATCAGAGATTCATTCCAGAAGAGAACGGAGACTACCTTTCGGAGCATCTCCTGATATACAGGGCCATCGGAATTGGGGGTACCGGTGACGGCTGTGGGAACGAGGGTATTCAGAAATGTCCATAGAAAAGATTGGATAACTAGAAATCCTCTGAGACCGACAAAGTGAGACTGGGAAGGAATCTGGTGAAGGGTAGGCTCTTGGTAGAACTCCTTCACAGGTGTCAATTGGGTGAAAGCCATATCGAATACCAATTTCGCCGTCGAACTGTCCCAGATTTTGGATGGAGAGGGATGTTAAAGATCTCTTGCACTTTCGATGTGGATATGGGGAATTATGTCTCCAGAGATTTCACCAGCCTCACCGGACTTCGATACCAAGACTTGCTCTTCACACTTGCCGATCCCCTCGGTCCTTCTCAGCACTTTTTTTTTCCGTCTTTTTGTGACGTCTGCCCCATCAATATTTTGCGTTGGCAGTATCAACTTTGCAGCTGCCACTTTGGTGATGCCGTGCCGTGTCATGATGAGACATTCCTCCACGTTTGTTCTAAAAGAGAGACCTACCGGTATAGTTCCGAGGGCATAGCGTAACAGGAATTTTCTGTTGAAGTGCATTATCACGATCTTCAAGATATCGATATCCTTTTGGATTCTGCCACTCCACTTCCTGAAGATGTCAAGGTCTTTTTGGATTCTGCCACTCCACTATAGCTATCTCGGCCTAGTGGATACCTGACGCCGGATAGACCAAAGCTTAGCGCCGCTAGCCCCGGCACTGGATCCACCCAGCTTCCAGGGGCTTCCGGCACACCGCATGGCAGACCCTGACGTGAGGCTGTCAGTTCCTCAAATCACATTTGGGCGTTTACTGAGGCCAATTTGAATCATTTGACATAAACCCCAAAAATAGATTTTTGTTTGAGCTTAAATCGTATTTAGAATTTAGTGGTGTGTTTTTATATTGAAGTATTCAATTCAGTATATAACTTTAAAGGAATTGATTAAATAGAAGAAAAAGATAAAATCCTATTAATTAGAATTAAAGAAATCGATTGATATAATTCTTTTTAAATTATTTCAAAAATTGAAATTTATATTCAATTCAATAGTATTTGAAGAATAAGAGATTAAATATTGAAATTTAATCTTTTTTTAAAATTTATTAGAATATTTCTATATTAGATATAAATTTCAATTTTTGAGATAATTCAAAAATAATTATATCAATCGATTCCTTTAATTCTAATTAATAGGATTTTCTCTTTTTCTTTTATTTTATTGATTTCTTTGAGGTTATGTATTGAATTGAATACTTATATTAATATTATATATACTAATTGGGAGTAGTATTAGTCATATAATTTAAGCGAGATAAGCTCGAGTTCGGGCTTAAGATAAGCGTGATAAGGAATTTCTGCTTATTAATTATATAGTTTGAGCGAGATAAGCTCGAGATCGAGCTTGAGATAAGAAATTATTACTAAGCTTATTTCGCTTATATTAGAGTGGTCTATGCACAAAAAGGAAAACTATTTAGAAATAGATTTTAAATATTAGTACATTTCCTATAAAAAGTTTCAAAATGAATTTTAAAAACAAATAAATATAGTTAACTCTAAGGACTATTCAATAATATCATTTTTATTACAAAAAATCTCCAATAAGATTGAATTCTATTCTTCTTTATAGAATTTCTAAAAACACACTATACAGATTCTAAAATTTCTTTTTTCATTAGGCAGAAATTTATTTTTGGGGTTTGTGCCAAATGATTCAAATCGGCCTCAGTACGTTGCATATGTGGCTAAATTCTGGCGCACGAGTAATGCTGCTGCGACACAGCGCCCATGGGGTCGAGAGCCGGGAGGTTATCCGGTGAATGGATGCCAAAAATCCGGAGAATTTTGAATCAGATAAAGATATTGCATATATCAAACATCATTTATATGTGATATCACCGTCTGAGAGTCGGAATTTACTTTCTTCTAGATGAATATTTACGCAATCTTAAGATTCAAGGTACCCATCTAGTTCACAGAACCTCTCATGTACCGGGATAGGGATGATATGATAGCAGGGGTTACTTTTTTGATAAAGGAAAATTCTAATCTTCCTGAAAGTTTCCAAAAGTACATGATATAAGGTTGATATACGGCAGTATTTTATTGATTTCTATCAGGATTAGTGATAACTCCCTGGTTTAGCACGCCATCCGCTTTGAATGATACTTTGTCCGATACTCCAGAGGTGGTCCCCGAATCCCTTTAGGGAACCTCTTGACATCTGCCGTCTAAACTGGACAAGCTGAGATACGCTATCAGAAACGTGAAAAAGTGTATTGTGGGATAGCTCGCGTGGGTCGCCGGATTTGGCATGATCTCCAATCAAACCAAATCAAAATTTGGAAAGGGGCTACTCACGTAAGAATTTCCTCCAATCACTTACTCTGGCTTGTGGGTAAGGTGACTTTCCCCATGAATCACATTTGTGGCAGTGTACGGTGAAGGTTATCTCAGTCTGTCAAGTCTAGAAGGTACATTGATGTACACACAACAACTCAACTGTACATTTAAGTCAACGCGCCGAGATTTTGATCCTATGTGGTAGTATCAATGTGATCTCCAAAAGACTATTCTTAGAAATGTATAGTAAACTAAGAGCTCCTGTGTGTTCGTGTGAATCTTTAGATTCAAGATCTTGATTTTTCTTTTTTATGTGGGATGGGGAAAGGAGTACACATCTTGGGGTGTTCTTTCTTTTTCGCGCACATGGTATTTTCGTCACTCGCACGTTATCTTATCTTCGAACGGCAGATTCATTTTTAGAATAGTGGTATGTGAGAATTTAGTGAAAATGATGTTTTTCGGATTTAATGAAGATTGCAGGGAATACGGAGGTATGATAGCCGGTTATGTCGATCATTTAATATCGAAAAGGAAAACCTTTTCAAACTGTGACGACTAGGCCTTAAACAATAAGCTTAGACTCACATAAACAGGATGGAAAATGAATATGGGAAAGTTCGCTATCAATATCCATGTCGTTGCTACCAAGTTCCAAGTTCCACTGATTTCTGTAGGGGTGGAGGAGTTATATCCAAATTATCTCATCACCTCATCGCCCTCACAAGTAGTGAATAACATCAGGGGTACATACGCGGAAATATCTTGGCACGTGAAGCATTTCACAAGATTTTGAAGAAACAGAAATTCCGGCGGCAAAGACAACAATAGCACACTCAGAGTTTTGATAAGCAGATTGGCAAAACAATATAAACTTTTAGCAGGCATTGAAGCCTATGCATCTCTATGTTCTAAATTTTCCTCCCTAAGTGCCGTCAAGAAACTCTCCAATTAAAATGTATATACAAATTCATAAAGTTATTCACATCGTCTACGTTCTCGCTGTAGGGTTCCAAGACGAATATTTAGTCAACTGCCGGGCATGTCCATAAAGACCTATGGTGGCCAAAAATAGCAGATAAAATGGATAGGCAATCGAGAACTTGATGATCATCCATCGTGACGCAAACTCAGATTTAACTTGATTGGTGACCCAGAGAGTGCCAATCAAACAGAAAATGCTGTTGATCAAATTAGTAATGAAATCAATGAGTGGGTATGGAAATCTTACCTAACGAAAAAGAACCACTCAGAAACTGGATATTGGAAGAAAACAGTCTTCCAGAACGCTGCTGGAGTCAAGGGGAAATTGAGAAAAATGAAGCTTGCTACCAAGCAAGCAAATTGAGTAACCAAGTAATAACTGAGCTCACGAATGAGTAACAGATTGAGCAGTCCAAATCGTGTTGTGAAGATTCTCTTTCCTTCCTTGGCTCGATTGAAGGTCAAAATTGAATGTTTCAAGCTTGCCCTGTTGCAGGAGTCAGTATCGCCGATCAAGAAAACGATTTTGGGGAAATAGAAACTTACTGCGCCCATCCTTGTGCCCATCTCAGACGCTGTTTCCAGAACGCTCCAAAAGTTGTAGGTGCCAATTCATATGACACAACATTTAGGTCGTGAACAATATTACATCCTCGGCCCACAGTTCGAAGAGCAGAGTCAATGTCTTCAGTGAGCATGTTCTCGTCCATCTTTACATCTCGAAGAAGTGATGTTCTCCAGTATCCATTGGATCCTGTGAATAGACCAAAACCCCAGATGGTTGCCCTTCCAGGATGTGAGACGGCATAAATCTTGTCAAATTCTATGCTGATGAGACTAGTGAGAAACGAAGCACCTGTGTTGAAAACGATGCATCGGCCTTGCACGATATCAACCTTCCCTTTCTCCTTGATGAAACGTTCAATCGCCCATCGAGGGCTATGGGGATGTATGTAGTGGTCACAGTCATATATAGCAGTGATATCAGAGCCGGTATCTAGACTGAGATAGTAATTGAGGTTGTCAGCTTTCGATGTAGAGCCTTCAACCTTGATGATTCGAAGCTGCGGATATTTGGCGGTCGCTTCCCACATTTCTTCCTCGAGAGGTTGAATTGGAGAAGGTGTGTTGTAAACAATATTTATGCGAATTTTGTCAACTGGATACTCCAACTTCTGACACGCATAGTTTATTCGATCCATTATGATGTCTTGTTCATTTGGAAGATATGCGACAATGACAATGTCCACGATCAATAGGTCATCATCTGGTGTAGGGAACTTCCAGCCCCTTGCGGCGGCTTTCGTAACAGTAAGCCGAGCCTCTCGACATGGTTCCATGCTCATAAATGCTTCTAGTGCTGTAGACGCAGCAATGATAAAATTTGTGAAATTATATATGAACCAGAAAACCTCTAAGAGTTTTGTGGGAAAGAGCATATATGCAAAAATAGATGAAACAAAATAGGAGCTGACAAGCAGAAAAGGCGTCCAGTCGTGTATAAAATTCGAGCATCTTCCAAAGGTATTGCGGATGGAGATAGAGGTTGGTGCTTTAGTATCTTTTGCGCAACTTGGGGAAGTCACAAGTTCATCTTGAAGAGAGAACCGGACATTCTGTTTTTCGTCAATGCTGGATTGTGTTGGAGCATCGTGAATGGTCACAAGCGCATCTTTGCATGTCCTGCTCATAGATGAGCTTGGAGAGCCATCACGCTCGGGGGTGAAGGGTGGAGGGCTGCTGTATGTTGGAAGTTCTTCAATTGCAAGCGTTCCGTTGTCGAAGGCCCCCATTTTGTCGAAGTGAGGTAAGTAGACAGTGGATGCAATGGCTGGTACTTTGTGAAGTTATAGAAAAGAACGAACAGAGACACCACCAGGAGTAAGAAGGTAGATCAAAGAATCAATAAAGATAGTACAGTGGGTTTACGACTTCGAGGGTCTCTACATAGGAGCGTCCAAGGATTGGATATAACATAATAACATAATGGCAAGATACAGATGCCATCAGCTTGAGCCCAAGCTACAGCTTCGCACTAGCCTTTCCGGCATTGAAAGTTGACTTAGCTCCTTGTCAACTTGACTAAGAGATAAGATGGGCCAGCTCAGGCAATTCATGCGGTAACAGTGATAGCACCTTATCAAATTTGCGACGAACACAGAGGCATAAAACAAGCAAGATCAGCATCCGCTGACGGCGCGGTCTGCCCTCTAGACTCCAGCAGCGGGACACTCTCGGAGCGTTGCATGCACACACGTTTTCTTTCGAAGAGACTAATGCCAAGAAATACTGACCCATGATTGTATGTATTAGAGAAGTGGACTTCAACTTTGAAGATTTCCAATTCTGTAATCGCAAGGCATGGGTAGGTGTAGATCTTTCATCCAAGGCCCACCGTGATGCTGAGCTGTTCCTATGAGAACAATAACCGAATGTCCGACCCCGTGTGGTGTAAATGGGCGACTCATCGAATTCGTAAAGACCATCGAATTCTACCTTCTGAATGAGGGATATCGTCGGATGAATATTTTGACGATAACATAACGCGTGGCTTTGAGCGTGGGAGTAGGAAAAAGTATAGATAAGTTCATCGGTAAGTAAAGGAGCCGCAACGCGCCAAGAGAGTTTGTCCGTCGTGATTAAGCTAATCCACTTTCAGAAGGCGGTGAAAATCGATTGCAATGTAATTTCATTTTCCAACTTTCGCATCTTCCTGCCCCCAACATATCCCACATCACCATGTATGAATCCACAATCGTCCCTCTAGATTCTCAATTCCTGCTGCCCCTGAAAGTGGATGTCCACGAGTTTCCATGGTATCAACCCCGACATCTTCGAATCTCGATGCTGTACTGGCATATGTGGCTTTAGAATAAGCATACATGCTGAAACTCGACATGAATAGATCTCACGCATGAAAATTAAAAAAGAAGCACTGGATCGACCGCTACCATAGATTAAAAATATCCACGAAGGCGAATCTCAGATTCCAAGGCGACCAGCTCATTTCAATGTGTTGTACTGGTACTTGTGCTGCTAGAAAGTATGCAACTCCGAAGCTAGATGCACACACCACAAGATGGTAAACCACAAAAGGACTAACATGGTTTTCTTAGCGGCGGAGTCGTATACTTTCTGGCAGCATGAGTAAAGGGGAAGAGGATATACATTGAAAGATGACATATAGCCGAAGTTTCTGCTGCTGAAGATCTTTGCGAATCTGGAGAAGCAAGTCAATGCCGTCGCAGCGCAAACCAAAGCAATAAAATCCCAGAAAACCAGACTAGTTCGAAAATAAAGAAAAACTTCATGCGTTGTGGAGCTTTGAGCTGAATCAGCTGACTACTGACTTGGAACGTGTACCCAAGTGCTGGATAGGACGTGCTTCTGGGATCTGCATGCAGGCCTTGGCCACTCAGAGGATAAGCAGCGGACTTGGTGCTTGCCGTCATTTTTAATATACTGAATTTGAGACTAATTGTGATCCATTGATCAGCCCGAATGCTCAAGAAACGTACTGGTAGTTCCATGCACTAGTTTGTCCACTTTGGGAGCTCCCTGCAGAATGAACGTCTCGATCTAGACAAGCTGATTGGTCTTATCAACAGCCCTGTTATCAAGATGAAAAGTGCGTAGAGTTCTTGCATTATTTCAAAGAATCATTACAGGTCGGCATCCTCTTCTATCCTGATTCTTCGTTTTTCATTCTCCATCCTTTAATCAGGATGCGTTATCTTACTCTTTGCTTCGTCGGTTTCGCCCTGAGTCTAATAGCAAACGTCGGAGCAGATTCAACTTCAAATTGCTCTTGTGGTTATTATGATCCGGCGACAGAGAACCTATTTACCGACTTCTTGATTGTTTACTTCAACGAAACGACCGCATTCCCGTCTGAGGTATTCCAGAATCAAGAATATGAAAACAAGTACGAGAAGAGCTGGAATGCACAGTACCGTTCAGGTGCCGATCCGTCCAATGTCCAGATCACAAACTCGACATCTACTGGCATTAGAAACTCGTCATCGTTGGAATTTACAATCAATCCGCCAACCTCTGAACATCTCGTCAAAGGTGGCGCGATCAGAACTTTAAGATCTGACATTCAATATGGTTCCTTCAGATCGACCATTCGTCCAGCTCAAGCTTGGACTGGAGGTACCGGCATGTCAATGCTTCTTAAGTACAACGAGACACAAAATATCCAGATCAACAGTTTGAACGCTCAAAAGCCTACAGATGCGTGGATCAATACTTTGCTTGCAGACGAGTTTCCAAATCGTGTATACGGGCTCAATTTCAGTACATTGACCAACAATGCCACCTACAGTCCAGAAATTAATCCTTGGGACTTCACTGAAGTTCGCATGGATTGGACCAAAGATACCGTGCAATTCTATATCGGGAATGTTCTAGCTCGCTCAGTATCAACCAAAAATATAAGCAGCAAAAGGTTTCCGATCACTCCATCGCCTCTATTGTTCAAGCTTTGGTCGAATGGTGATTCATATTTCACGGCTGGACCGCCCACGAGAAACACCACAGCCAACCTCGGATGGACCCGATCATTTTTCAACTCGTCAATCATGACAAAGGAGCAGCACGAAGAATTTGATACGAGATGCACGGTTACAGATGCATGCTTGATGGACGATACTTCATTACGTGGTTACACTGCATTCGGGGTGGACTCTATCACAAGATGGAAGGCCACACACCATGAGAGTGGGGTCCGAACTTTTGCTTACATTTGCCTTTCCTGTTCTGTTGCTCTGACTGTGCTGTTACTTTGCAACGTCACTTTTCAGAGATGGCCGACGAAGGACTCCAAGACTCCCAAGGAACCAAAAGTACATAGTTGTTACCGTCTTCCACCCCAAATTTCCAACTCCAAATCTCTCTCGTCATCGGATACGACTCCAACAATGTCCACGAGAGCTTCGTCTATGGATCTGAAAAATCCGAAAGATGATCTCGGAATAACGAAGGCTGGCTTCACGCCTGGATCTTCAACACTCACCCTCAAAGATATGGTCAATCAGGAAACCACACGTGTGTCGAACAATAGTCCATTCGCGGCATCTCGGCAGCATTCTACCTCAAACATGAGTGGGTTTACTTTAAACGATCCTATATCGCCGTCAGCTTCACAGAATAGACTCTACAGTTTCAACGATACCCCCAATCATTCGATGGCTATAACGCCCCAAAGTTCGTTGTTCTTCGGCAAAGACGGCCGACCAAATTTAGACGGTGATACTCCGCACAATTCGTTCATCTATAGTACAAATCCAGTAGAAACATCAGAAAAGAAGGACTGTTCGATGCCAGATATCACCAAAGTTAATGAAACTGAGAATTCTAGACCAGCACCCCCTAATCATACTGCTTCAGAAGTTCCAGCTCCAATTGCTTTCCCAGCTGCACCCATCAACGCTCGGACGGCACCCACCAAGCGAATTGATTATTTGGCAGGGCTTATATCGATCGCAACCCTTTTGGTGACTCTGATTCATTTTATATTCACATTTTCTCCAGCAATGGGTATGGTCGGTGCCTTTGAGCACTATAGCTATGAGATCATGATTCGAAAGACCATTGGATCATATCTCCTCAATCAAATTCTTCTTGGACTTTTCTTCATTACATCCACTCGCTTTCTTATCAGTCGTTATCTACGTACTGGTGATCTTGGAAGCATAGCCGAGAAGACGACGGGAAGAACGTTCCGTGTCATGATTCCGATCGCGGCGTGTGCTATGCTTGAGTACTTTTTGATCGATGTGGGAGCTCTCACGTATCTAGAATACCTCCCCAGTATCAGTTGGACAACATGGCCCTATGCTGTGGCATATACAGATTTCGCTCATTACATCTCTGAGATCCTTGAGCTGGTGTACTTGCTTCCTAATGCAGCGCCACTGATCACCTACAACTACTGCACGGGTGTTTTGTGGACCATCCCGGTTCAAATTGAAGGTTCTTGGATCACACTTTTGGGATGCATCGTGGTCAGAGAGATCAAAACACCTTGGAAGCGTATGTGCTACTATGCATTCTGTATTATTAACCATTGGTATGCTCAAAGTTGGGGCACATTTTTCTGGTTTGGAGTCCTTTACACCGATCTAGACGTCACCTTCAAGTACAAAAAGTGGTTCAAAGACCATGCTTTTGTCCTCTGGACCGGAATTGTTGTTGGTTTCATGCTAGCCATTGCCGCACTATCGAACGATTTAATCACTGCATGGACAGGTTTCTCCTTACCTATCGTAGAACGAGGTATTCATCCGGATCCCGAGAGTGGTCTTCCAATCGCCCAAACAGCGAACGCGGGATATCCGGAATATTTCAACCCTCGTTTCAATGGAATCATATTTGCCGTCGGTCTTCAATTCGTCATCGAGAATTGTTACTTCGTTCAATGTTTCTTGTCCATGAAACTTTGGTTGATGCTCTTCCCCCATATCTTCACCATCTACCTTATCCATGGTTTGATTTGGTGGTCGCTAGGTAGCACAGTATGTGTACAATTGGCTGCCAATACCTCCCTTCCATATTGGTCTGTTGCCTTGATTACGGCGACAGTTTGCTACGGAACTTTGTTTGCATCGTTACCCGTTCTTACACCCGTGGTGGAGACCTTGGGAAGGAATGTTACTGGTAATATTTGGAGAATGGCGCACATTAAGCCGGCTCCCAGAAGAAAGACCTTATTCCCTTTTGCGGACAGGCTTTTCTTAGACTATGAAGAAAAGACGGGAGAGATTGTGGATGAACAAAAGGATGTGGAAAAGAAGGCAGGAATAAATGTACATGAGGAGGAATTGTGAATGACGTTTTAAATTTTGGATTTATGAATATACAATGTATGATATTGAACGCGATACCTCTAATTTAGTTATGATTTGAAATATTGAAAGAATTATAGAAGGCAAAAGTGAAAGAGATAAGCTGCTCGGTGAACTCAAGAATGAAATATCCAAACATCATGTCTGCTTCCTAATCTCTATAACAACTTTCTTTGCCGACACGCCATTCCTAAGAAGATCAATCCCATCCTGCACGCTTCCCAATCCGCCCTCAAGAACTTCCGGGTCTGGCTTGGCCAAGTACTTTCCCTTGGCCAATGCCTCCGGTACGTATTTCCGCCATACTGCATCCCCGATATCGAAATCTACAAGTCCTACATCTAAACCATTTACTAAAGGATGAGGTCAGTTCAAGAAGATCTAGAAATGTAAAAGATAAAACATACCCATAACAGGCTCAACATTATACTCATTTGGTACAGGTGGTAACACAGCAGCAAACTTGCTGGCACCAATTTTATGAGCAATTTCGGCACAAGCGTGTTGTGTGTTAGTTTGAGCGATGCAGTCGAATACGGCATCGCCTGTTTGGAGAATCGCCAGGATGTCTTGTATAACGGTGGTTGATTTATGGTCAAAAGCATGGGTTGCGCCAATGCTTTTGACGAATTCGTGGTTTTGGGTGCCGGCAGTGGTAACAACAGTGTAACCTGCTGCATTTGCCAATCTTCAAAATTTGGTATCAGTTACTCAATAGCACAATAAAAATATATCCGCTTACTGGATTGCCGAGGCACCACAACTTGAACTTCCACCCCAGATCAAAATCGTCTTTCCCACCGGCTTTGGATCCAGCACCGGAAGCGGCATTCCCAAGATTTTGAAAAGTCCCGCAGCAGCCGTGGAAGTAGCAAGAGGAAGGACTGCTGCACTTGCGAGTGGGATGTCATCCGGAACCACAGAAACGAGAATCTCGCTGCAGGTAGCATAGCGTTGGAACGCAGTGTTTTGGACAATTCGTGTGAGAATTCCATCGCATTGACCTATCACGCGTTGTCCAATCTTGAAACGGTCTACGCCAGATCCAAGTTGGACAATGGTGCCAGAGACGTCGGCACCGAAGATCCAGGGATAGGGCATGCTGAAATAGGCGATGTCTTGCATCTATTAAGGGAATGAATTAATGTTAATTGGACGGAAGAGACGGGAATAAATAGATCAACAGACCTTCCAGTCAGTCGGGTTGACAGCTGCGTAGGCTACTTCGATGACGACTTCATTATCTCTGGGGCTAGGTGTTGGTCCTGGTCCTACTTTTACTTGGCCTTTCTCTGTGGGTATCCATGCTGCCTCATTATTCGTGATTGGAGACATTTTGAAATAGTGTGTGTTCAAGAGTTGAGTGTTTGTGTTTATGATATGTTACATTAATAGAGAATTACTGACCGATATATATAATCTCATAACAGGGGGGAAACTCTTGATGTGGTATTTTCTTGGAAAGCATTCACGGACATCCGTGGTAGGATCGTCATGTTAAAGAAAAGCATCACGAGTATGACATCAAACTAGCAAGATTAGCACAGGATAGTAGTGGTTTTACAAAACAATTGATTTGCAGATTCTAACCGAAACTCGTGATAGGGAGTGTATCTGCATCTTACCTAGACCTATTTCGTACCCCTGACCCCCACTTTGATTAACAATCGGTGAATCCTTCCTGCTTACTAACATATGTCCGAGAACCAAAATTCTCCGTGCAATAGACGAAGGTTACAAAAGTTCTCCGAAGCTTCACAATCTTTCTCCTTACACTTTTGTCTTCAAGTCACTCTTCAAAATATGAAGTCAAACCAGTTCCACCGTGAAAAATTCACGTGTAGTATCTGTGAAAAAGATTGTGGAAATAGTGAGTCAACTCCTTTATCAAAGATTGCAAGAAACATTAAACTGAGTACGCAGAGAAATCACAACTTCGTCATATCTCATACTGCAAAAAAGTCAAATCCCGTGGTGGTATAAGATCAAGGAAGCGTGCTTGCTCAGCTTGTACCAAAGCCAAGACGCAATGCGATTTGATACATCCAAGCTGTTCACGATGTCTAAAGAAGAACTTAGGCTGTATCTATCAGGGACCTCAGTTACCGAAAGGAAAGGTTCTAGAGCCAGAAGTAAATAATCAATCCGATACTGGTGCGTATCAGACCGACGAAGTATCTTTGATTTTATCGTCGTCGCAAGACGGCACTGCACCGGTCTTGCCGGATATCCATGAAGCCAGCACGATTTCAATTCCATTGCAAATTTCGGATGTTATCGCCGAGGATACCTTGTATCTCGAAATTCCGAATGAAAGCTGGAACCTCGACATTGAAGAATTTATTTCGGAACATGTGGACATTTCAGTTTTCAGCAAACCTACAAGATATTCCCCACAACTGTTACCAATGGATCCGTCCCTTATTTTCGCGAACTATCAACCGAAAGATAGTGGTCCATATCACAGACTATACAATCAACCGGTACCCAGCGCCCCAAAAGCATTTGCACCTCGAAAATTGTCCAATAATCAATTTTCCTTGAACAGAAGTTACATACTATGCACTTTACCAACATATCCCTCAATGTTACTCCCTAGTAATGACGATGGACTTCCGCCATTTATCCATCCTCATTTCAACAGCCGTAAAACGCTTCCAGCACCGCTCGCTACATGTGTTTCCCTCATACAACGGATAAGTGTAAAGAATAAGGATAATGTTTTGTTCATTTGGGGATGCATTAGGATGGAGATTGATAGAATATGTGCCCAGGTTTGTTCACAAATAAATTTTAAATTGGGTGTACTCTGAATGAGGGAAATGCTAGTATAAAACATATAGCATTGAAGATTCCGTCGCTGCGCTTCAAGCCATAACGATTTATTTTCTCCTTCGAATTTCGGAAGATAATGAAAATGCAACAAATTTTGATGTTCCATTAATTTCCACAATGATCGTAAGTAAACCTCATCTGCATTCTTGATATTCGCGATGCTCTCGTACCGTCACACTAATGAAACGATAGAAAGTTGCAATGCACGTTGCTCACCTGGCAGAAGACCTCCAAAACGAGGGTGTTCCATCGTGGAAAGAATGGGCAATGGCCGAATCCATACGCCGGTAAGTATTTCAACTGTTTCCGATATCAAGTTGACGATAAACCTACCACAGTAGAAGTTTGTTTCGCTAACTCGACTACATCATGCCCAGCACAATTATAACACTGTTCTTCATCGACCTATTCTTTGACGTCTCTTCCTCAGTCCCGGAATATCGCTGCAACGAAAATCGCCTACAGTATATGACTTTACCCTGTTCTCGCAAACTCTGGAGAGCGACTACAAATGAAGCGTGGGAAAATGAGTATGCAAATTCAATGAGAGGAGTACAGCTTACGTATGGAGATCTGATAATTTCTCGAACTAAGCCTGAGGATCGAACATTAGATGGGTGGTTGTCTCAGTTGGATGAATTTGGAATGCTGGTTTTGGCTGCGGCGAGTTTGGCTTCATGAGCAGTGTGAAAGAAGAAATATGTGAGAATGAGAGAGAAAGTCGGCGATTTAACAAAGGATAGGAACATTGGAATAAAACCTAAAATACTCAGTGAAAAGACTACGCAGTATTAGTCTCTAAATTTATCTATTACTCTTACATTCTCACGTAAAGTGTTGTTGACATTCTATCTATCGAGTCACCATGTTTGCACACTTAAAATAAAATATAATCTCGAGGAATGGTTGAGATCTCCACATGCAAGAGAATGATCAGCTGTGAAATTGTTCAAATTTAATTAAGCTACCAATCACTCAATCCATGACAATCTAGCTGTCCAGCTCAGCAACCTTTAACAAGCGCGACCATGCACCCAACAGATCTATTGTGTTTCTCGCTAGTCTAATCTGGCGACTTCGGGCTCTTAGAAGCATAAACCATATTTGTCGCTAGGCTTCATAGTTGTTGAATGCCCATGCCCTCTTTAAATTCTATGGTGCGGGACTCGTCTTGGTCATCTTCGAATGCAAACACACCCAAATAAAATAGTTCAAGCATACCAGCACTTGCCTGAGCTGTATTAAAAGGCGTGCCTTTCATATTAATTTCATCTGTTAGACGCAGCAGTTCTGTGGTAACCTTCCGATTGTTCTTAATACGCTCCAATACTCTCATGCTTCCTAATAATCGTTTGTAGTTTGCGACGACTACAAAAGCATCAGGTGAGTATTTAGCTGTTCCTCTGATTTCCTTGAAAACTGGACATTCAAGGATTTTCGAAGATATATGGTTATGATACTCGCAGCAGGTTGTTGATGAACTGTTCCAATTCTCGATAATTTGTGGTTCGGAAATCAATGGGTTGATTTTATAATTGTTGGCAACTGGAACTCCAGGAAATAAGCTTCCCCAATGTTCCAGTTGGTCCGGAGGAAAAGGTTCGAGATACAACTTTGCCAGCTTCGAGGGTTTGGATTGAGATGCGAGCACTACCATCGAGTTCAAAAACCGGATGAAGTAACGCAAGGGTCCTGGAAGCTCTTCTATACCTCCTAATTCATCATATGAAGCTGAGAATGTTTCCTCGATACGTGCAATCCATTGTGGCTGTACAAGTCTGACATGTCCGTCCTTGATTCTGAACCATGTAATAAGGTAATTCGTAACAAAGTCTTGTAGAACCAAAGCACAATACTTATGAGCCAAACAATACAGCTCCACTCTAGTATTAACGGACGAATAGGAAGTGTTTTCATCTGCCATATTGATTCGATTTGTATAACACCATTCGACCAATAACTCGAATGCGTTGAAGTTATCCTCTGGTAAGTCTATAACCTTGGAGGTTGCCTCACTAAAGTTACCCCGGAGCATGGCGTCGAAAACTTCCAGCTTTTCGCAAATGACATTTTTGTGCACTTGAATAGGCTTAAGTTTATCACCTACTCGGAAGGTGATAAGTTCATCGCCAAGAAATCTGTTAAGAAACAAAGTTAGTTTATTTCACATGATAGGTACTAGCAATGATCATGGGTGAGCACGCTGAGACTTACTTTGAAAAGTGTTTGGACTGTTTTGATATGGGTGAAGGGTTTCCGCCATTGGCAATTTTTCTTCTAGTACTACGTTGACAGGAGGACATGGCGAGGATATATGCCCAAAGTGCTGGAATTAGATGAAATTTGCCAGTAGAGAAATCGGTTCGCGACGAGAGTGAAGTCAATTGTAAAGGGGATCAAGAAGACGCCGTGCTTTCAAATGGTAATTCGACAAATTTTGGTATTTATTTGATTAGAAAGTCGATGATCTTGAAGTGGGCGTTTATGAAGTGGAAGTTCCGAGATTATCGAATGTTGTGAAAAGGGAGATGTAAGAAGAACTTTAAATAACTGAGGTTTTGATACAATGGCCGTATAGAATGCGTAGAGTGAAGATCGGATGCCGTATTTTCATCTGTAACTGTTGTGAAGTTCAAACCAAAGACCGTACATGATGGCCTCGGTATGACTATTATTTCAGTCGCGCACTGAAGAAGCCATTGTTTGCGACTGGTAGAATATTGAAATGATACAATAATCTCATGTTACCAAACCGGCGTGAGAGGCAGCGAATTACAAGTGATAAGCAGCGAAATTTAAAATTGATGAACGTTGAGAATGAACAAATTTGCAGTTTTGGCTTCGTTATCATCAAGATTATACGGCCTCTCTTCTGTAGATTCGATGTGTTGTTCTCCCAACGGGCTGAACTAATGACAATTGTCAAGGCACCAGATTTATGGATACCATCAGCCATAGAATATCAGATTGACAAGCACACTAATGATCCCAAAAAAGCTTTCGTTTGCTTTCTTTGCTGCCAGCCACCAGGACTGTGAAGATGATGACCCAAGGTTGATGGAATTGTAATGGAGCTGTGCATATGTGCTTATTGGGAAAAGAAACTAATGCCGATATGCCAACTAATTGAGAATAGCCTCACTTGAGGACTCTTGTACTCACTATAGCACCTGCTCTCCCATCTGTTTCCAATTTGGAATGTTCATAGGTTACATGAAAAATTACAACTTTGTACTGCCAATGCTCAAGTAATGTGCTCTAATCGATCAATCGATTCAACAAGTAGGAAAATGAATGGGAAGCATAAATTTCAATGGATTTAAAATCCTGATTGATGTTGCTATGAGTAGACATTTTGACAAGGTGCAGAATTTCGTAGATGTATTCGAATTTCTCGAGGAATTGATGTTGAGGTAGAAATGGCATTTGGATGCTTGGATTGAAGAGAAGAGAGCATGTAAGGTGGAGTCGCGCTAGCGGCCGTCTCACCGAGAGATGCATGGTCAATGCTCAGTTTGTGGACCGGACCGGACTGACAACTTTGACATCTGACATCTCTCCATCTACACCAACCTCAAGCTATTCTGGCTGTTTTTGATACTCTCACTGTAAGAAGTTCGTGTGTCTTTGCTTTTGAATAAATTCAGATGATAGTCTGATATTTCATGAGTTAGCAGACCTAGACCATATTTTCCTATCTACAAGTTGGATGACTACTGCATCCCATCAGGTTTGAACTCAAACCACCTGGGCATGTTTCATCAATGTAGTCGACCTTAATATGGTGCATCAAATTCATCGCATACTTCACAATTTTCACACAGAGCATTCGGATTACTGTCGCGCCGTCACCGGCCTCAGATTCTTCATTCCGTTTCAGTGTCTTGCTGGTGAAGCTAGCGGTCAGACCTCCCACCACATCTCTGCCCGCTATCGCATGTTTCGCCTTATATGGAAAGTTTTTTCTTTATTCTTCATCATGCGTAGCAATAATACCATTCACAGTCTTAAAGGCTTATGGTAGCGTCATCTTTCATGTCTGATCTGCGAGGTGCGGGTAGATCTAATTGAAGTACGTTTTTGTTTCTCCTAGATATCTGGGTAGTCAGCCCTGTGAGCTATGTCGATGCCGCTTAGACGATAATCGGCTCGGATGGGAGAAGATTCAAGTTAGTCTCAGTGACAAGATGAAAAGTCGCTATTCTGAGGTTACCCCTGCTCCGTTTGCAAAGATCCAAGGTTTACCTCGCGCATTGCTTCCGTCGCTGTTTAGTAGAAGTCCCAATTGCATAACAGCCCCAATTCAATCGTCTGATTGTTTTAACTTCCAAACCAACTAGTATATCCCAAATTCGCAATCATATCTGAATCAGATCAATTTGAATATTCGGAAAGAACTTGAGGTGAGCATTCCCGTTACAAAATTATCCTATGAAACAAAGCTTAAGTTAGGTGTTGTACAAACAGCCAATCGGATACAATTCTGGGAATACAAGTTGGGAGGCTTAAGGGCGGATCAAGAAGATTCGGACGCAAATCCAAGTGGAGTTTTTCCAAGCCTTGATGTCGGTGCTCCAGAATGGCGTATATATACGATCTGCGGGGAAGCATCATTTCTCCCTTCATCAACCACTTTCTCTAATCATTTTCATCTGATCGCAAATTTGGTCACTTTCTCCAAGTTGACAACACATTCATTTCATATATCAAAACATTCTTTCCACGTTGATCGTGTAACACATCTCCTTTATTTTTCTTTTTTCACGCGCAGGACGAATAGCAAACACTATCTTTGACCCAGTCAATTAAACATTATTACCCAATTATAACCATGAAGTTTACAGCAATCTCAACTTTCGTACTTGCCGGTCTTGCATTTTCAGACAGCGCATTTGGCTATACATCTCGTCATGTGCATCGTCGTGCATTAGGACCACGTGCGAGTAATATTGCTCGATCTCCGTAAGCCATCACTAATGGATATCAAATGATGTATAAATTGACTTTTAAACAGAGAGATTGTCAACTTGAACAATGCTCCAGTACCCACCTCTCTCGCACTTTTCCCTCGCCAGAATAACACCAATAATGGCGCCACCGCACCCAACATTAACGCACAATTAACCTTGACTGCCGTTCCCGCCAACACCACCACGGTTTTAGTCTCTTCAGCCTCAACAGGTCCCGCCCCAACCGGAACCGCAGCGGCCGTGGGAGGCATTCAACCTCCAAATGTCGAAACTACAACCGATCCAGACAGACCATTCTCGGTGAACGGAAATTCATTTACGGATATTGAGGATGCTGTTGATAGGTCATGTGCAATTCAGCATAATGCTTGCGCGGATGCGATCAATAATGGGAATTTGTCGGATGTGGAAATTAGTGATTGTGATGATCAGCTTTCAAAGTGTGTTGCGGCTGGTTAGAGGTGAAATCTTAGTTGGTTGCGAAGTGGAGTGGAGTAAAGAGGGAGAAAGGACCTGGAGTTTTTAATAGTTGAGCTATCACTCTTTAATTTTCCTTTAATAATGACCTCGATATATTCCTCGGATGCCAGTGCAGTTGTCTTACCAAAAATGGATGTACAAATTACAACACGCTCAACTGAACCTATATGTTTCACTTCAATCATCGGGAATAGGAAGTTCGCGACCAGGCTCCTAGTATCCCGGGAAGTGAGTCGAGCATTGTTCAGATAAGAAAGCCAGTTGAGTTAATTCTCATGCTCATTAGAGAGATTATTACCATCATCTCGGCAGGATTTTGCACGATATTGCGTCTCTCTGGAGGCTTTTTCCAGATTAGGGTTTGATTGTTCGGAGTCGGAACTGTAATCAAGTATTAATGAGAGATCGACAGATTCATGTTCTGGTACTCATAGAACTTCAGTCATCCATGGTTACAAAATCGAGCAGTATTACCAATTGTCTCGTTGTATGGATGTGAAACTCGACGATTTTGTCATTCAGAATGTTGCAAGACCTGGCGGCAAATATTCCAAACCCAGAGTAATTTGTTGGAAAGCTTTGGAATTGTTTTACACAAAGAAAAAATTGTTGAGCGATTTTTTGGATGCTTCCATGGATCTAGAACGAATGCAGAAAGTTAAAATTTGAGGTAATGGCAATCTGGATGTCGAGGATTTTTGGACCTAGCAGGACAGATCTTCGACTTCATGATAGGGGTCATGAGGCCCTGACGACACTTAACCTTGCTCACATTGATTGCACGGTACCGTGTAATTTTTGGTTAAATATCTTGAATCTCAATTCATTACAATCACAAATTTCCCGCCCTTTGTTTGCGATGCTTTTTCATACGCTTCAACACCATTATCAATCCCAACCTCTGTCCATGATCCTTCTTCTGCCCCTTTCAACGACCCTTCTTCGAATTTACTCGTCAGTTCTTTTAATTGAACCGCAAGTTCCTCGACACCATATGCCAATGTATTGCACCCTACCAATGACTTTTCCCCTCGATAGAAACTCAACATATCTAATGTCAATCCCGTATCAGCGCCACCCCTTGGTGATGCGATAAACGCCAATCTACCTCCTCTGGCAAGCTTATTGACAGCAGCCTGTACAAGAGCAGGTTGGCCCACAGTATCCGCCACAACATCCACACCTTTTCCGTCCGTTAAATTATCAACGGCATTGAGTTCTGGATCATTCGCAGTATTGACGTCATCCTTATCGCTTCTAGTAGCAGATATGACCCGACAGCCCATCCCCTTCGCCAATTGAACTATTACCGAGCCAACAGCACCATTTGCGCCCGTCACCAATACCGACTCGTCTTTCTTGACATGTGCCCGCGAAAGAACAAGGCTCGCAGTCGTAAACGGAACGCCAACACAAGCTGCCTGAGTAAATGAGAGATTTGATGGTTTCGGCGCGACAGCATTTTCGGGAACGAGACAATACTCGGCTTGGAATCCATCCTTGGTGAAGGCGATTGTGTTTCCACTGGTACCATAGACTTCCTGACCAATTCGGTCAGATGGGCCTTCCACCACTATTCCCGAAAAATCTCGGCCGGGAATTCGGGGAAATGTGGTATATGGGAAACCGCCTTTGGCATTGAGGAGGTCGCTTGGATGAATTGCCGAAGCGTGGACTTTGATGATGAGGTGGTTTGGTATCAATGTAGGTCTTGGGACATTCTGGAGCACCAACTTAGGTGCTGCTGCTGGATCATTGCGGATAAGCCGCAGTGCTTTCATTGTGATACTCATGATTTTTTGAGTTTGAATTGATTTGGTTGGATATGAAATGTGATTAATACTGGAATGAAAACACAGGAAAGGAATGCTTTTGATGTGCTTTATATAGAGGCTCCGAAATCCCGCAGCTTGATTATTAAGAAGCTACTAATCGCCCGAAATAACCCATTCTTTGTGATTTGACTTTTCAAGGTGCATTAGACAAGTTTTAGACAAAAATCAATTGTGATAACAAACGTTAGACACTTGGTGTTGATATTCTCAACTGTTTCTCTTCATCGGAAATAGGCGGGGTAAAAATCGGGTATGGAAGGTTACGGAACGTTAACCCCTTTCCGCAATACCCGCAAATAAATGAAGGGGTACTCGGGTAGGTACACGGTGACGGTAAGTAGGTATTCAGGGTTGTAAATAACGCATCACATTCATTCTGATCACTCATGTTATTGATTATTTGAAGGTATCGACTGAATATTGATCTGCTAATAGAGATTAACAAACATTCCGTAGCGTGTTAGCATCCATACCCCTGATTCCCAACCTTCCTATCATTAAGCGTTTATTACGCTATAGAAATACCAGATATAAAGTTATTTGCAGAGGTTCTACTTGTGACTAAATATCACTCCTTTTTGCTTCACTCCATCTACACTACCTCAGTCCCCCGTTAACAACAAGACCCTAAAATTAAACCGGGGAGAGGAGAAGCCAGACTGCAGAAAGACCAGCACGAACAGGACCAGGGCCTCCCTCTCTAAACTCCATAGCTTCCCCGTCGTTTTCATCATCCTCCATCATATCCTTCTCTCCTTCCATATCATCTCGTGCATCCTGGAATCCAGTAATACCAAGAGCCTCGAAACCAAGCTCTTCAATTGTCTGAGCGGATGTGCTAATATCATGCTCTAAGTTCAAATGCTCCATGTTCTCATTTATCTTCTGATGAGAAGAAGTAGATGGGATAAAAGCCGCAGCAAGAGCGAGAGCTTCGGCCATACTGATCTTGGGTGCGATGCAGGTGGGCTTGCTCGACTCAGGATTTGCGGATGTACTACTTGGGGCAGGGTAGAAGCCTGAGATACTGAATGTTCTATAGTAGGCGTGATTGCATGTTCTGATAGAACAGACATGTTCATCTTTGGGTTTATCTTTGGGCTTCACCGTAGAAGGTTTCTTGATGGGTTTGGAATCTGCCGGACTATTATTGAAGCGATAGAAGCCTGAAATGCTGAATTGTTGGTAGTAAGCATGACTGTATGAGTGGACAGAACAAGTATGTTCATGACCAGTCTTCTTGGCCTTGATTTCTTCTTGTTTAGGACCAGTCTTCTTGGCCTGTTCGTCCTCTTTGGGAAGTCCCTTGGTTGGTGGTGGAGGATTGCAGACTATGGGATAGAAGCCAGAAATGCTGTATCTTTGGTAGTAAGCATGATTTCGGGTGGTAATGTTAGAGTTATCAATGCCCGTGAAAGAATTGCCAGTTTTTGGAGTTTCTTTTGGTTTAGGAGCTATATAGCTGGGGCTGCAATACTTTCTTGAGTGAGGTTGTCTGAAGTTTCCACCCATACCGGTAGGTGTGTTGAAGGATATACGAGGAGCGGCGATGGAGCATTGAATTAAAGCTCTCTGTAGATCAACATTGTGAAAAGGTAGGGACTTCATAGTTAGAGATGTTCTGCTGATGGACCGGAGTGAAATGCCCTTCATGTTGAAGAACATGTCGGTGACTTTGGTAGATTTATTGTTTATTGATCGAAATGTTGTGGTCCTTTCTTGGTGCCAGAATGTCAAGGAATTGTAGTGTTATACAAAAGAACAAGAACTCACCATTAGGTTGTTGTCTTGCAGACTTTATATAGATGTGAAGTTGAAAGGAATATGATTGTCATTTTTGAGCTCACTGCTACAGCTTCCTTTCTACGGCTTCATCAAGACTAGAGAGTGATTGGAAACTTATAAAAATCTTGTACCATAGAGAATGATATGTTAAAAAGCTGATTTTGTTGTGGCACTTTGTGTTTTAGTTGGATGGATTGAAAAACATAGGAGTAATGATCATTCACTGCATCGCCTGATGTGGAGTTAAAAAGTTCATTTTCAGAGGAAAGCTTTTGATCAGATTACAAAAATATCTAAAAGCAACCAAAAACAACATAGTCTAGCATCATGTAGCAAAGAAAATTTCCAGAGGTGAATTAGTGTAAATTGAACCAGAAAAGAAAGGATGGATGAAAAAAAGGCTTCTGGGTACCTATCTAGTTACTGCAGTTTGGCATAGACTTTCACATTGACTTTGACAGTGAATTACATTTGGGTGACATGATGTGATACAGTAGTTCTCACAATAACCAGCACAGTTCAGATAATACAGCTCCCTCTCTCGTGAATGAATGAAAATTGATCAATTAATCAGCAATTTGTTCTAGTCTATACACAATGCGCTCGCTCAATATACTTCTCCGCAATCCAACAAAGTATCCGCAAACAATTTCTTCCAAAGCTAATAAGTTGACGCTCAATGATAACCAACACCAATGGTATAAACACAATAACAAGCAATGTGTGCAAAGAAAACAATAATAACGCCCAACATCCAGCCAAAATTATAAAATTCGCTATCCGCTAGCCATTTAGCCACAAACAAAAAAACAGAAAGCATTATATTCCAAACATGTATCGCAGGGGGAAATGTCTGCCGACTTCCAATATTCCCAACACCACAGTCTAATATTCGTCCGCGGAAAAGTGATTCGGTTTGCTCGCTTGGTCGTCTAGATAGATCAAAGTTGGTATCTCCCACTCCGGGCAATACTTTTCCTGAAAGTCTTCCGCCATTTTCTGATAAGTAGTGTCGATAATTTCGAAATTCACCATCTTCTGAGCGTCACTCTCTGTCTGATTGCCGTCTTTGGTGCGCGAGGATACATCCTTTCCGGTGGTGGGTACAGAGATAGTCTGCAACTCTGGCATTGTCGAGAGGATCGTGAAGAATTGATGAGTGCGACGTTCGAGTTGTTCGATGAGGAAATTATCGATTCCAAGAAATCTGCGGAGGAAGAATCCATTGAGTACGAGATGGGTAACTTTCAGAGAAGATAGCGGACTGCTTTCTCCGAAGTCTAACCAGGCAGGCCAGAACTGGAGGGGGAAAAATAAGTGTAGGGTGTCGGATTGCTTGTTGAAGGAGAAGGATCCAAACGTCGCTGATTTACTCATGTGGTGTTGAGCTTCCTTCCTCGCTTCATGATTAACGAGAAGGGCAGGGATGCTTGGAGCTTCAAAGACACCTTTCATAGGATAGAGTCCACCATTGTTCTTCACCTGGACAGCAACGTCTTTTTGAAATGTAAGTTGCCATATCATACTTCTGATCTCCAGAGGAAATTTTTCAAAGAGGTGAAATTCGGTAAGTGGTTTGGTTGCTTCTTCAACGAAATCCAATGACATGGTTCTTTTTACTTCATTGGTCGCACGTTTCATCTTGAAGGAGTCTTCAGAAGTCAGTGAACTTCTTCTTTTGACTCCCCGTCCTTCGCCTGAACTATTCATATCGCTAGATTCCTGGAAGAACATTTGCAGATATTGATGTGTTTAAATTGATGGATTCAAGTGATGAATTTGAAAGGTGTTTGTAAGATGTGGAAGGTATTCGGAAGATGTCGGAAGAGATGTGAATGAAGGTCGCAAAATATAAGTGTAAAGATTAGATTAAAGATTATGTGTGTTATTACTTACTATCAGAGATATTAAAGAAGTGTAAGTGGAGGAAACAGTATTGGGAATTGTTGTCTAAGATATCAGAGATATTCGAACAAAGTGTGGGTGAGTGTAGGTGAGTGCAGATGGTAAACTGGGAACTGAAAAGAACAGAAAGAAGATGAAATGGCAGGGGGGTAGAATTCCTATTTATGGGTTCTCGAGGAACTAGATCCACGTCTCCATAGTAAAATTCTACCTCCCAAGTACGTACTTTTTCATGTCCCAATGCTTAATTCCTTACTATAGTCTTTTCTTGGTACATGATTCCAGCTTAGGAAAGAGCTAATTGAAGCTCTAACTGTCTGTCACATATAATTATACTTTCTTGGTAAAAGCTATTCCATACCACCATCATACTCTTTCACACAATTCTACTTTTTCACACAATTATACGCAAGTCAATTGATGTAATACTTCGCAATCTATACACAATTAGCCCTAATAGCGGGGCGATTCGACCTTAGAGCCGAGCTTTCGATGACTAGTACTATTATTAGTACATGCTAGTACATGCTAGTCCAAACTCATTCTAGAACCCCCCTCCCCCACAGTTTCTTTTTGGCATCTGTCAACGACATAGGTTTTATGAATCGCTATCTCTTGATACATTGTTCAAAGTAATCATTCATTGCAGGCCACTTCATGAGAAACAATTTTGGGCGTGATAACATCTCGATACATTAGGCAACCTTTATGGCCGGATTATTAAAACTTCTGCTGAAGAATTTTCCATGTGTTTCTTGTGATCCACATTGCTCCTCTCCAACCCACCAGTAATACACGAGACGCTAAAACAATAAATACATCATCATTTAAAAATAGTCGAAGATCTTTAAGTTACAAAATTAAATAGGGTTTTATTAGCATCAACAAAGACGAAATCCGGCGCAAACTATTTTATTCCCCGATTCAAGAGAATTCATTATATCCCTCCATTCTCAAGTCCATGAATGGTCCTTTTGCCCAATCAATAGTGTCCAGCCAGTCCAAGTCATCCATAGCCATCGGTTCGACATTAAGATCTGATAACGGAACTGTGGTAGAAGTAGACGCTTTGGGAGTATTGGCAATTTTAGGGGGATCAAGAATCTTATCCAAGGTCCTCTTGACTATTTGACGCATTCTTCCACATAATTCATGATTCGCGGCTGTCGGTCTTACCCAATCTAGGAAGCCGACTAATAGACTAAGGTTTTGGATTACTTCTGATCGAGGCAGGTAATAGGTCGGCTGGGCTGCAGGATTTTCCATCTCTTTGATGAGTTCAACGCAGATGACGCCTGCTGATGGAATTCCGTAACACATAATCTGAGAGCTTTGTTAGCTTCTTCTAGCATAAACTAACAACTGTGAGTCACTACTTACAACCCAATCATAATCGGAATAATAGGTCAGAAAGCGATCTTTGGAAGTCCACATCGAAACGGTTAGCGCCAAGAGTTGTCTCGAAATGTCAAGCAGTGGCTGCCTGTCACCCTTAACTTTTCTGACGAAAACTTGTTCCAAAATAAATGAGCACTGAAGACAATTGAATTTGAGTGCAATCTGTATCCAATGAGTAGTTGTAGATGAATTAGTCGGAGTAGAGCTTGAAAGACGAAGCCACGGTGGAAGCAGCTCTTGTATATTCTCGTTCCGCTTTCGCAGGTCCCTGAGATAGTTAGATAATGAATTATTTTTCGGAGCTCTGCTTACATTATACGAGCCTCGGAGAATTGGTTGATAGTCCCGAGTGAAATCTCCAATATTTCATCTATGATCTCACCATACATCATCGATGCTCGAATTCTCGAGGAAGAATATATGTTACCCTCTCTGTTCCAACCATTCTCATCCAGCTTACTCGCTGCTTCTTGAAGGGTCTCCTTCCCAGCCAGAAGAATCTCGTCTTCCAGATCAAGTGGTAATGGGCATGAATTATAGCGACGGCTCAAGCCAGGAGGCCTACCAGTGAAAATCGACAACGTTTTATCGTTGACAAATATAGCAGAGAATATGCGTCTCTCGATCTCCAGCGAAGTCGTAACTCCTGCATCAGGGCAAATGGCACAGTGGTGAAGGCCTAGAGCTGTAGCAAGATGAACTTTGTCGCCCTGCCTTCTCCATAATTTGAAGGCTGTAGCATTATAATCAGCAATACACTCATCATCATTGACCAGAAAAGAATAAGTCTTACACATGTCTCCTATGATCTCACTCTGAAGTGTGTTTGTTTTCCACAATAAACTCAGCATAAGAATGTTACCTATATCCATCTTACTACATATTTCTACGCAGCCCTCAGCACACTCGTACATTTCTTCCGTAAAAACAAGCCTCTCCTTTCGTCTACCTGACTGTGTTTCAAAAAAGGATTCTTGTTCCTTGTCTCGCATCCCAGCAGCCCGATGCCCCAGTACACAGAATAGTATACCCAGAATCTCCCACCTAAAGTTCACACCTGACATTGAGGATAACCAAGCATCTCCATCCTCAGCGTCAGGGAATTCTGTGCTGGTATTTTTGCTCAACAAGTAAGCTACCTCTCTGAGTCTCTCTGGCCTCCTCGGATGTCGTAGACTTTGACCGAATGTGGACCATAGGGATTTCATACAGTGTAGGATAGTAGGCTTGTGGAAAGCATACTCTATTGATTTCGAAGCATAATTTTCCATGAGTGACTCACAAGTAATTTGGTCAGGGAGTTGACTCAAGATTCTCATTCCCAAAGATATTTCCGCAGTTTGTTGACCATTCGTGACTATAGATAACGCGGGGGGCGTCGTTATCGCACCTGCAGAAAATGTACATTCTCCCTCATCATCGACATCCGACACGAGGCCATTTTCGTTATCAAGAAACGGTGCTGAAAAACTCGTGGGACCATAGAACCCAGGAACTTTTCTTGATGCTGCAGCATGATCTATCCGTGAATCTATAGATCCAGAAGTTTGCGGCGATACCAAGGAGTCGTTTGTGATATCTCCAACGGGATGAGAAGGATTGGATATCGAGTGTTCAGAGGGAGGGCCATGACTCGGAGGATGCACTGGTGGATGCGAAGGTACATATATACAATTTGCCGCGGCACCTTTTCGTTGACACCTCAAACAAATGGGAGTTGTATGATCACAGCGTGTTTTGGCCCTTCGACAAGGCTCACAGGCTTGATCTTTACGTTTCCTGCGTCGAGGATTTGAAGAATTGGCGGGAGGTGAAGTTATCATTGACATTAAAATTAAGTTGAGTTGAAGTGGGGATGAATTGTTTGTGATACAAACCGATAAAAATTCTGATTAGTATCTAGGCAGTGACTTTGATGAGGAAATACTATGGAAAAGCGATGTAAGTTGTTTACGTGAAGGCATCGATAGCACGGACGATAAGATCAAGAGCGATCTCGGCGCTTACGACGAATATATCTGACAACAGCAACGTCATTGTCATAGTTAGGTATTCAGGAAATCGCAAGATATTGCCCGAGTATTTAATTCGAAACATTGCCTTAAAGATGTTGTTAAGATATGTTTTGCCGAGATTCGAATAAAGGGGCATCGAGGTATCACAATACCGATTAAGTTCTACAATGATAGCAGTAACCTACCACCACCATTCTAGAAATTTGCTGGCCAAGAGCTACTTTTAATCAATGCTCACAGTTCGACCTCTATGGGGATGACGACATGAACATAAGATATCTACGAGTAGTGATTAGAGACACATCTTCCTTCACAATTATCAAACTGAATAGGAAGAATCTAATGAATAAGCACGGAGTACAGAAGGCATATCTCAAACAACTGTAAAGTCACGAGAATTCAAGACCGACGACATGGACTCCGACTTTCCACACACAAGAAGAATTGAGGACAAATCTCATGATCTCATAATAAAAATCCCTATGTTTCAGAAGCACCAAAATAATAAATAAGTTCATAATTAAATTCTACACTCCACTCTTTAAATTTCCCTTACAATTGTCACTATACGAGACGAGTAGTGTTCCTCTAAACGATCTTTCGGCGGCTAATACACAACACTCATGAGTTTTTCTCGCGGCTCACCACATCATACAGCATCATTGAAACATTCCTAGCATAAGGAATAAATCTTCAACAAAATTAATATAATAATCTCAGCCATACAAAAACCCGGCGCAAAAATCCCATACAATACATCATCATCCAAAACCCCAATGAGCGTGATAAAAGACATCCCCAACCATCTGCAAATCTCCGCAAAGACACATAAGTTCAATTCCTGTCTCCACGTCCAAAATCCCATTCATACAATGCACATGTCTTCCAGAAATTGAACCCGGGTTCCAAAACATACAGCTACAGCCTGCGATTCTCCTCCACAACCTATAATTTCCATCGCACATCACTCCATACCGGTATTCCCTTCCACATGCATGTGCATGTGAATCCTTCAGCATCCGAAAATAGAAATCCGGGGTAAGGTTACCCTTAACAAATAACAAATTCTCAGGCGGCAAAAATATTCTCACGAACCGCGTACTAGGCTAGGTAGGTTACCTAATTACAATCTAGAATTGCGTTGAAGATAATATAATTACTAGGTATTTAAATCCCATTTCCATTCCCATGTATAAACACAAAGATGCGAGATATATTAGATAAACTCCGCTTTCATTCCCATACTCTCTCTCTTCCCGTACCTTTTCCTTTCCATCTTCTTTCAAAATCCCAGACATCGAACTCGTATACCTACCTACCAAGTGGCCCAGTCTGGATTTCTCCCACCCACCCACAAGTGCGTAACGCCTCCGGTCACCTTCCGGCCATCCATTTCATCATTCGCAACGCCTCATCCGTTACATACCTATACATCGTGAGATATTAAAGGTATGTTCTCGCCCTTCTCCAGTTATGAAAATATCATATATCCAAAATTCAATCCCATGTCTCTCTCCACATCTCACTCCCATCCCGTGCGCGAGTTTGTTTCTGACTGTTACTGGAAAGTAATTTTTCTCGTCGTCGATATCATTGTAGAAAAATATCGATAATCAAAATCAAAAAAGAAAAGGAAAAAAAGAATCAAAATGGAGAGCTCCTCGCGAAAAACTACAGATTCTATATTTTCCCATGCCCAGGAAATAAAATACATAGATGAAAACATCTCAAACCGTAAGATTCTCTCCTCTCCTCTTCTCACCTCCATCTCCATACTCTCAAACCCACATTCCCACTAACCCCCCTCCTAGAATCATCCCAAGCCAGCATTTCCCTTTCCACACCCAATACAAACCTCACATCCACATCCACTTCCACATCTTCATCCTCACCCCCCAAACTTCTCAAATCCTCCACATCAGAACCAGACTCAAAATCAACACCACAAACCCCACTATACTCCCCCCACACCATCTCCCATTATCCATTCCCGTCAACTAGATCCGGGATAGCACCCAAAATATCAATCACAACAAGCATCAATTCCATGATCTCGAATCATCAGAATATGAATGTGGGACTTTCGCTTTTGACGCGAGATTTGATGGCCAGTCCCGTTGAGGATTTTATCTTGGGGAGTCCGCTGGAGGGGTTCATGTAGATTTTTGAGGGAGGGTTTGTTTGCTTTGTGGATATTGGTTTTTGGGGGGGCGGGGGGCGGGGGAATTGGAACTGGTGGTAGGGGGATTGGGTGTTTGGAAGGGAGGGGTTTCTATGTATATATGTGATTATTAGTGGAGGGGAATTTCTCCCCGAATTGGATTTTGAGTAGCGGAGCTAGGAAATTTGGGGATGATAGGGATTAAAATGTATAGCTCATTTGAAAATGGGTAACAATATATGGATATTCAATCAACATGTACCCTGTTAATCAATTGCGTTTTCATGCTTCCAACTTTACGATCATTGCGGAGAAGTGACCCTAAGCCCTGTCGCATACAACAACAAACGGTGCCGTGATAGAACCAAAAAACAACCTTCCCGTTTTAGGATCGTGTACGACCGAAGTAGCAGCCGACAGAACACTCGCCTCAATATCTTCTAACACTTTCGTAGCCACATATCTCCACCCTCCATCCTCGGTATCAAATTTTCTAATCCTGAAAGCCGTAGCTGGTGTGTTGATTGTAGGATCACCCATCGATTTGACCAGCTTGACTACATCGGGAAAAGCGGCTGCCAGAATGTCGCCATTGGCATCTACGGAGAGATTGTCTAATGGCATCTGCAGATCAATTTCATCGATTTGAGTAAATGTATTGTTGGCTTCCAGAGCATAGACGGAAACTTTTCCTTTGATGGATGAGGCGACGTAAAAGAGGCCATCTTGTCCTCGAACAATGCCATTGGGAAGTCGATTAGAGGGACCAGAATGACATTGATCGTCAGACCCACACACAGCGATATTTCCTCCCCCAATAACCATATCTAATGAGCGAAGCTATATATTTGTGAGCAGAGCTAGACTAATATATTAACGGCATAGGTCTACTTACAAGTCCAGTTTTAGTAGAATGATCATTAGTGAAAACAAATCCACCATCTCCGGTCGCGGCAATGTTATTTGGGGTTTTTATGATTGGATTGGCAACGGTCTTGACAAATTCCAATTTTTTAGATCCAGGAACCAAGTCGAAAACTTCCACGGTGGAGTTCGCTCCTACTTTTGTAGCGTCGAGAAAATTGCCAGACTCATCAATTGCTGGTCTGTGATTGACCATCCAAAATCTCAATCGAGAATCAGATAAGAACTCAACATCGAATCCATGGACATCAATAGAATTATGACTATCCACCCCCCGATACCCTCCTGAAATTTCTAGCGTGTGTAGTCCATAGAGTCCTTCCTCTCCCGGCTCATCAATTTTAAGTACAGACACGTGATCTTCCAAGGTTCTTTGGGATACATTGTAGAGATTTCCCCTGGCAATCGTGTAAGTATGTCGTGCATTACAGACGTAGAATGTATATCGACTTACCCCGGACCCCAGCCCCTTCGACTTGCAACTGTCGAACATGCAGCATACAATGTACGATCCTCGTGATCAAGAAAGAGATCTTCGCAAGATTCTAAAAGCGGGTGCTCTACTCGTCGACATGTAAACGGATAATCTTCGAGATTGTTATGAATTCGTCCTACTCCGAAATTGAGGTACAACCAATCCTTCAGGATTGTTTGATACAAGACACCGGAAAGGACAGTCAGTGCTCCTAGAATGATTGTTCTGGAGCCCATTATGTCCAAGTGTGAAGGTTCATTAATTTCCTCGGAAGGTATCGGTATGCAACCTTATATATAAAGTTTGCGGTTTTAGAAAAGAGTTTGTATCAAAATGTCTCGATAACATTACAGAAAGTGTCGTTGGGATTTCCCCCTGTCTGACGGGGTGACAATCCTCAGCGGCTCAGACCCATATTTTACTAACGTGAGATCACTGGTGGATGTAAGACCGTTGCATGTGCATTACTAAGTGAAAGTGATGCCAGAAGCACAAAAGCATGATAAAGTCTACCTACCTAGTTAAATTGATCCTGTAGTAATTTGAATGATTAGTTGAAGCTTAAAATACTATAAATTACACGAATTGAATTGGATTGTAGGTAGATCTAAGTAGATAGTCAATCAGAAACTCATGAATGCACCATGTGTGACATCTGATTAGATAATATACACGTGACCAGGACGATGATACGAGCTAGCTGTTTTAAGTTTGGCGCACTAATTCATCGCAAGCTGTGAAGTTGCCCCTTCATCAAATGAATCATCGCCAACATCAACTCTTGTGTCATTGTATCCTGTTGTTTTCTCGAAATTTGTGATCAGGGAATCACTGTAAAGTCTGACTTCAATTTACTGGTTTCCTGGGCTTATGGGCCGCCATTCTTTATGAACAACCTGCTTTCGAAAGAAGGATATCCACATAAACTTGTTTCTGCGTAATATATTCACTTCCAAGAATCAGTAAAACGTCATATGCAGCAACAAAGAATACCAGGACAGGTAGGTTGATGGGCGTGGAAAGGTAGGTTTGATTTGAATATATAAGAAGCATCAAGATCTATTTATCGTTTCCTATTTCCTTCATTCTATTAAGAGAACTCTTCTTCCGCAAAACAATCAATTACATCCATTAAAATCGCCCTCAAAACCAATACCATTCTTCTTTGAACTTCTAATACCACTTTCCAAACATCCAATATGGCCAATACTCTTTATGTCGTCCTTGCGAATATCACAACAATCGTTGTTCTCGTTGGAGGTGCCTATGCCATGGGACTTCTCGATGATTACATCGAGAAATTGGGCGTCTTTGCATTTAAATTCAAGGCCAAGGCTGAAGCAAAGAAGATGGGACTTCAAGGTCTTCAAGAAGGAACAGATTTCCTCGCAAGTAAGTAGCATCATGTCCCCTACATGCTAGACAATTGAGTCTACTTCTGGCTTGTGTTTCCTCAGTCTTCGGACCCTATATAATTGATGAATGCTAATGACATATTTCTGTAGGTGACTTGAAGGGCAACCAACAAGCACAAAATGTTAGAGAAGGCAAAGGACCCATTGGCGGATTGAAGACAAATGGAGAGGGCCTTGCAAATGGAATCTTAGGAGGAGCCGACTCTTGTGGAGATGGATTGGTTGGAGGATTGAAAACTGGTGGAGAAGGATTGACTGGAAAACTCTTTTAAGGATAAAATTTATCGACGGAGTCTCCTTTAGTGTGACGACGTAACGAACTATCGATTACGAATATTACGAAATTTACGGAAAGAAAAGCGGTTGGTTCATGAATGCGGGGTTCAGTCGGCTTGATTACAGTAGTTTCGTAAATCAGAAGTCGGCTATGACTTATGATTTGGGGTTTCAGATGTAACGATGGGACGAACTGTACTGATAGAGAAAATGATAACAATATCAAGGCGAACGTGGGACGGCGTTACAATACACAACAATCACAAGATGCAGGAGTTTCCTCCAGATTCCAGACCCCATTACCCAGTGACCAGTAAATCAATGCATGGCCCCTTTGGACCCCATCGTCAATATTATATTCTCACTTGTGACCCTTTTTCCCCCTTTCAGATGCAGTTGACCAGAAGTCAAAGTCGAGTTGAAAACAATGAATGCACTATTAGTAAAAAATAACGATCTCTTCCAGTCCAGAAGATAAAGGGGCTCGCAGGTTACTCTCTGGGTACATATTTCGTATCTCCGGTCAACTTCTATGCTTCTTTGCATTTCCCATGGCAACATTAGGTACGAATTATTAGAGTACACAAGGAACTCTCTCTCCCTTAGCCAACTCATCTTGTCCCACCGAGCCCACTTCCCTCGTGGTAAAAATGGTAACGGCAAGCTTCGAGATTTATCGTGAAATTTTCGACATGCCTGGGTAAACAAACCTGGTGATGAAGTCAGCTTTTCCTGGATATCAAGGAACCCCATGTCTTTGCAAGATCAGAAACATTCTCGAGAACGAATACCTAGTACACTCACAACGCCCTTGATCACCCCTAGGTTATGTGGTGATGAGGGATTCCATTGGTAAGGAAATTTCGTCCCAAATTTGTTTCCTTTTTCTGTAACGGAAAATAGATGAAAAGTAAAATTGGAATGTTCCAAAAATATGGATAGATTGATATATATCGTGAAGATGTTATAGAGTGATTGGGGCCAAAATATCGATGAAGAAAATGTGATATTGAATTAGACTGATTGATTTTCAATTTAGCTGCATTTTCCTTTTTTTCCTTCTTTCTTCTTGCTTTTCTTCCACGAACTTTCTTTTCGATCGATTTAATAACATACATCGCATAGCGTGGAATTAAGTTGAACCTTCCATTTCTTCTTTCTCTGTCTTCATTTGTGCATCTCTTTCCTTCTTCTTCTTCTCTTCTGCATTTGACCTCCAGCTCCGACTCCCTTGGTTCTCCGAAAAACATCCAACAACGCAGCAACGCATGACATCAGATTGTGTCCATTTGCAGCGTTCCCCAATTCTCGCAGCGAAAAGACTCCAGTTCGCATCATCATCTTACCACCCACCCACTTCCTAACTTCCGGTACTCTTCTACTCTTCTGTATGCTCGGACATCATTGTATTGTCCTTGGATCCCGCCCGCCCCTTCCGCAAACTTTCGTTTGAATACGTGGAATTGATTGGTGATTGGAGAGCATCCCAGGAAGAAGCATCGAAAAGCAAAAACAGAAACTAGCAGGACCGCTGGTGGACGGTTACTCAGCCCGCACGCATCCAAGGGCTTGCAAGTTGGAACTAGGAACTTGGAACTGTACCTGGGTAACTCACACCTACTCGAGTAAGAGCAATTGTAAGACTACAAGACTGCGAGACTACGAGACTAGACACACTTGTACCAACTTATCACTTCGTTCCTGTCAAGCCTCGAAATTTCATTCCGTAGATACCGTTCTGCTCAACTAGCAGTTTTTAACAACGACCGATTACGATTCATTTTCACGACCCCCAATCATTCATTGACCCTGACCGGACTTGGGTTATTATTATTTTATTATTTGTTTCTGCAGGAAGAGGGCAAAGTCAAAAGAAAAGAAAAAGAATTCAAAACCCCTCCATCCCTCCTGAAGAACGACAATGAAAAGGTTCTTCTTCCTTTTGATCAGTCTGGAAATATAATTTATTGAGAATGCGACAAATTAATCCACATATCAATCCAAAAGTTTGAATGTTTTGATTAATAATTGTTTTATCCTTTATCCAATACATACATACATAGGTACATACATACATATATACATGAGTAGGTACATCAGTACAGAAATCGACTTTATCGGCCAAGTCTCTACCTACCTATCGACGCATAGACTGTCGTCATCAATCATCACATTTTCCCATCCCACTTCGAATAGCCTAAACGGAGGAACTTCTCGCACAACATACTAGGTATTCACGAAATCACCCAGACGAAAGATTAAAAATGCAGAGAGCAGTCTCATGGCTCCCATCATGGGATAGGACGAAAACCACCAGTAAGAAAGGTTTTGATAAGACTTGGGCATGGGCAGATAAACTGGGTGCTCCCGTCAATCGATTAACAAACAAAATTGGTTCCGAAGCTTTTTGGCCCGTAAGTTTTCCTTCCTTCTCATTTACATTCTCCAAAGTCTGGTTGTCAGATGCTAATGAAGAAAAACAGACTTCTCTAGACAAGGAATGCGATAAAGCTGCTCGGATTTTGAAAACTTTCTGTAGTGAGTACTTGCGGCCTTCTTCTAATTCCAATTCTTTTGAGTTTTCTCGCTGACATGACTACGTCGCAGAGGATGGATTTTATACCGAAGAAGATCGATCATCTACCCAAGCTGGTCCGAATGCGAACTCCAAACAAAGAATCCTGAAGAAGATTCCACAAAAGGTTATTGAAAATGCCGTCGGTTTGGCCATATTCACAACTATGCGAACAGGCTTATGGATTTCGGGGGCCGGAGGATCTGGAATATTAATTGCGAGGAAAGAAGATGGTACATGGTCGCCTCCTTCTGGAATTCTTTTGCACACTGCAGGTCTGGGCTTTCTGGTCGGCGTCGATATTTATGATTGTGTTGTTGTTATCAATAATCGCAAAACTCTCGAATCCTTTACGAAAATAAGAGCAACTCTAGGAGGAGAGATTAGTGCTGTCGCGGGTCCCATTGGAGTTGGGGGAGTTTTAGAGAACGATGGAAACTGGAAACAAGCCAATAAGCCAATATTCACTTATTTAAAGTCCCGTGGCTTCTACGCAGGTGTGCAGGTAGATGGGACGGTCATCATCGAAAGAACAGATGAGAACGAGCGATTTTACGGACAAAGAATTGGAGTTGCAGACATCCTGGCTGGGAAAGTTCGAAATGCACCTTTTGAAACGAAATTGCTTATGGAAACAATCAAGGCCGCAGAAGGCAAGCAAGATGTGGATACAAACTTGTTGGATCAACTGAAAGATGAACCATCACCTGGTGATGTGGATTTGCAAGCTCCTACTTCGATGATACCGACCTTTGGCATACCTGAACCAGATGATCCGGACCCTTTCGGGGTGTTGGCATTAGAGGATGCAGGATTTGAGATTCGCGAAGCGGGAACGAAGGCTCGACCGGTCAGTTCGCAATTTGAATACAACCCATCTCCATCAAGTCCAATCTTCACCAGATTCAACAGACGTAGTTTCGACACTCAGGGTGCCAGGAGTAATAGAGAAAGTTACATGTCAGGGAAAACAAGGACAAGTACGGATCGAGGAACTCAGACTACTGAAATGGCCACACAAACAGACGATTCACTTTCAATCCGATCACCTCGTACCTTGTCACCAAGTACGAGTCCAAGTTACAGCGAAGACAACAAGATTATAGAAGAAGACGAAAAGGCAATTGTATTGGAACCGGAAGAAGTTGACTATACGAAGATTGATCTCGGACCATATCAGAGCTTAAACCACAGTCAGGAATTTGACGGCACGACAATGAACGGTAGTCCTCTTATTACCGAGGAAATTGATGAGAGACGAAAGGATTCAAAGGATTCATTCAACTCGATGGATGATCTCTCAGATGACGATGAAGATTTTGAGGAAGAGGAACCAGTAGTTTTCGAAGCTGCTTCAGCACAAGCTACAGTCATAATTCCCCAAGCAATCAAGGCAAGAGGTGGTGTTGTGAATATCCCAAAGAGAGGTCCACCACCACCATTACCCCCAAGGAATTCATTGAGAAACAGCAAACTTTCTATGGCTGCCCCAAACAGTGATAGAAGTCCATTGAAAGAAGGCTTTGAAGAGGTTGATGTACATGGCGTTGAGAGTAACAATGTCAAGAGAAGTAGCTTGGAACAAGCTAGCATGACACCACTCCCTTTCAGCCCAAATAGAAAGAGCTTTGAGCAATCTCAAGCCAGCATGGTACCACTTCCTTTCAGCCCAAAAAGACTGAGTTTCGAACAAACTCCTGTCCTCATGGAGGATGTTGAATCAGAGGAATCAGATTCTCATGAGCAGGTCGAGGAAGAACACGCAGAGATCAAATCGGCCAACGAAAACTCCAACTTCAACGAGAAGATCGAAATCCTCGATAATTCACGCTCAACTGAGAGACCTACTCTTACGAAAGAAAACACCGAGTCTTTTCACTCAATTGCTGTGAATATTCCAGGAGGGTGGAGTTAGAAGATGATCGAAGAGGAGGAGAGACTTGTACAAAAGAAATTATTCTGTATGAATTGGAAAACTGGATATCGGCATTTGGATTTAGGGTTTGAAGCTTTGGTGCACACACGGAGATTCCAATCATAGTATGAATGGGGTTTGAGGAGTTTGTTATATATGGGCTACATTGGGTTTCATTTCTTGGGGTTTGGGAATGGCATGGATGGGGTTACTTTCTGTGTGCATGGTATGGGCGAGATATTCAGGATGGATTTGAAGGGGATTTTGGGGATCTTCTGTAATGGTTAATGAATCTCTTATATCTATTATGAGGATTGAAGGTTCAAAATTGGCAGTATGGGATTTATTTGGGAAGGAGATTGTGGATAGGATTTGGAAAGATAAGAGATGGGGGCAGTCAAAGGAGATGAGGGTTTATATATAATCTTTAGATTTTAATATCTTAATCCTGTGATAGATAGATCGAATTAGTAGGGTGGGTTAGCCGTGAGAAATCGAAAAGGATTTGAAAGGGGGAAAACGGGAGAGATTTCAAACATCAAATAATACGATATATATATATAGTTTTGAACACTATGTTATATCGATATTATGAGTCAATATTTGAATTATTTTCGTGAGACCTTGAGATTTATCATGCTGATTGCTAATATCCTATACTGGTGAAATATTTGGGGTTTTGGTAGGAGTGGAGTGGAAGTTGTGGTGATGGAAGTGGAAGTGGAAGTGGAAATGGAAATGGAAATGGAAATGGAAATATCATGTGATACTATATGTAATTTTCAATACCTGGTGATTGGGGAGCTGATTGATTAGAGAGTTGAGTTGAGTTGAGTTGAGTTGAGTTGAGTTGAGTTGAGTTGAGTTGAGTTGAGTTGAGTTGAGTTGAGTTGAGTTGAGTTGAGTTGAGTTGAGTTGAGTTGAGTTGAGTTGAGTTGAGTTGAGTTGAGTTGAGTTGAGTTGAGTTGAGTTGAGTTGAATTGAGTTGAATAGAATGAATAATAGATGGGTGTTGAGATTAGATTAGAATTGAAAGGTGTATATTATATATTGTTTGATTTTAGAGAGCTTTGGGGAATGCTGGGTTTTTTATTGTTATTGTCTGTCTGCTGTTTCTTTGGGAGAGGGGGAGAAGGTTTTGAGAGAAGGTTTTGAGAGATGGTGAGGAGTGATGAGAGATGGTGAGGAGAGATGGTGAGGAGTGATGAGTGATGTTTTTTGGGATTGTTATTTATTTATTTATTTAGGGAACTAGATAAGCTTGCTATGTTATATTATTATATCGGCTTAGATGGATGGATTAATAAGTATCGAAACCTTTTGTTCTTTTATATTTATATATATATATATACCTATGTATACACCTCGGTACCGAAAATTTAATATGTTGATTTGATTATGAGAATGAATAATATTTACTTGATGTACTTCATTTGTATCTCACTCTCACGGACTATATTCTATCTTTCTCAAACAAGATATTAAATGTTTATATATGTAAGAGTTCTGGCCCCTGCTTACCGTACATGTAATACTTTCCCGGCTAAAATATAGAATTATTCAACTTTTTATATTCTAATTTATTTCTTATAATATAAAATAAAATAAAAAATTCTTTAAGAAAATGTTATTTAATTAATCAAATTGTATAAAAAAATAAATAGAATATTTTTTTTTAATTTTTTAAATAGAATTTGAAAAAGTTAAAATTAAAAGTTTTAAATTTTCATAAAAATTTGTTTATTTTGTATAGAAAAAACATTACATATTAGAATTTTTAGAAAATTTCGATTTCAATATTATATAATTATTTAATAAAAATAACAAAAAATATTTCGAATAATTTTTTGTATTTCAATTATAATTATTTATTATTTTCAGTTTTTTTAAAAAGAAAATATAATGATTTGAATAAAATATTAAATAAAATAATTTGTATGGGAAAACCTTATTTTTGCGGGGATTTTGTTATATTTGTCACAGGGGTGCGCTGAGCAAGGACCAGAACTCTTATGTGAAACACTCTCTTGATTGGCTAGTGACACGAGAGGTTACTTCCTTGCTACACCTATGATAATTGATCGATCAGGAGTATTCTTTCCCTTGATTGTAATCCTCTCACATTACTTCATTGGGGTATCTTTCATCAATTTTTCATCTATTTTTCGGGCGCATACCTGCGTGGGTCGATTCTTTTTGATGGATAGGTGATAGAATGGAGGGATGGAAATGATTGTGGGGTAGAAGCATGGAGATGGTTAAATATTAATCCATTCCCATTTCTGTATGATGAGAGATTGATGATTGTATTTAGTTTTATTTTCATTTTCTACCGTTTTTGAACATATCTTCATTCATCTGTACTTTCTTTAACATCATGATGAATCGCGTTGCTTTGTTAGCCCTGGTTGGCTCCACTTTCGCTTCTCCTATTAAATCGCTCAAGTCGCGTGCGACTGCTGATGCCAAGTATCTCTTTTCCTTGTACGTATATACTTTACTCAAAATATCAATCAGTGATCGATATAGACATTAACAACACCAGCGGAGATTCATATTCCGAAACCGGCTTCGACGTCACCAGCACGCAACCCTCTGCTACAAATCCATTCGGTAATCCCGCATTCCCTGGCTACACCACCGACAATGGCATCAATTGGATTGGCCATCTGGTCGAAACCTACAATTCCTCGCTTATCCTATCGTACAATTTCGCATATGGTGGTGCGGTTGTCGACGCCAGCATTGTTGCACCTTATGAAGATACGGTCTTGACTCTCGTCAATCAAACCGCTGAATTCGTGGATCATCTCTCGCCTGCCCCAACAGATATTCCTTGGACGGCGGATAATTCGCTTTTTGCGTTTTGGTTTGGAGTGAACGATCTTGGGAATTCTTATTGGTTGGCCAATGAGACGGATGTCATTACTGCGATTTTTGATAGTTACTTTGCCCAAGTGCAACGTGTGTACGATGCTGGAGGAAGAAGCTTTTTGTTTTTGAATTGTCCTCGTGAGTTACATACATTCCTTATTCATCCTATAGGTTTCCCAAACAATAAAAATCCCAAACAATAAAAATCAATAGCCTGTGAACATATCAATTCAGATCCCTCCCACACTAACTCCCCTCTCAGCCGTCGACAAATCCCCCATGATGCTCGCCGACGGCGATTCCGTCACCTCCTCCGAAGCCACCGTCATCAGCGCCTACAACACCGAACTCAACGCCCGCGTATCCGCTTTCGAAACTGCGAATTCCGAAATTACTACCTATGTTTTTGACACGCAAGTTCCATTTAATACGGCTCTCGATGCTCCAGCTACTTATGGCGCTACGAATGCAACGTGTTTCGATGCGGATGGAACGACTTGTCTTTGGTGGAATAATCTGCATCCCGGTCAGGCGATCCAGAAATTAGTCGCGGAAGGTGTGGCGGAGCAGTTGTCGGGGTCATTTTTTCAGGGGGGTGCTAGTGCTAGTGCTAGTTCTTCGGGTTCTTCGGCAGTGCCGACTTCTTCCTCCGTGGCAGTTGTAGCATCATCCAGCATCCCAACATCCTCCGCCATTCAAACATCAAGCCCAACAGTAGTTGCATCGCTGGGGATCTCGTCTGCGGCGGCGGTTGTAAAGCCTGTTTCTTCGACTGTGAATGTGAAGTCAAGTTCGGTAATGCTCGCTTCGAGTACGTCTGTAGCAGTATTGTCCTCGGCTGAGCCTGTGGTTAGTAGCGCTGCTGCGTCGGCTACAGCGGTTGCTGCGAGTGGGAATGATGAGTGTGAGGCTTAGGGGATGGATTTCTTTCTCACTAGTTGAGTGAAAACTTGATTTTGAATCTCTTTGAGATACGCCCGTGGTTTGAATATGTAAAATTTCTGCACCAGGGATCTGGATTTTGGGAGAGAATAATGTTGAACATAGTTGTGAGAATCTCTGTGAGAATTCTTGTATTATAGATTTCAGTAGGAGATATTTTCGTTTATATATATTATAGGAAAAGGAATTCGAAATATTTTTGCACCTTGTATCTTTTTGATTCTGGGTACTTGGGTGTATAGTATATCATCGAATCTAACATCTGTGATCTTCAATTTTGAGATGTAGAGGTTGAAATTTTTAAGATTTCGAGAACAATTTATTAACGATAGTTTAGAAGAGAGAAATTAATGGGATACAATAATACACGGTGTTCTATGGTAGATCTAATTCAATAATCTATCTTTCACTTTGAGGGGAAAGATATCGTAAGGATAGCATAAAAGGTAGCTGGAAGTAAGTTGCTTTTCCTTTTTTTGATAGTATTTGATCAATGAGATTTGATGATTATAGATAGTATAAGTGAAATATCAAAATTTATATGAGTGTTAAGAACGGGAGTTAGAAATTTAAAGGAGGAAAAAAGACTTAGTAGGAGGAAAAGATTACGGGAATGAATCTTTTGAATTTGAGATTTGTCGATTGAGTAGTTGGAGGATTATTTTTGATATTATGTAGTTTCTGTTATTTCTATTTTCTCTCTTACTTTATTAAATTGTATCGATGTATGGAAAGAATTACATTAAAGAAAATTCGTGAAATTGTAATAAGCGAGGAGGTATTGATGATACTATACCGTATAGGAAAAGGAGGGTTTTTAGGATCGATATACAACTAATTGAATTAATACATCTGTTATATAACCATTTAAATTTTTAAATTCGTTTTCAATCAAATTTAAATTAAAACTATAGTTTTCAATATTCTAAAGTAAATTAATACGATTAAAACTAATAAATGATTCAAAATAATAAGTAGTTGAATAAATTGAAGCTAATATAAGGATTATCCAATATACCTTAAATTTAAAACTTAAATCTAAGCACATCCTTATATAATCCCCTTTCCCCCTATCAATCTAATTGATATTAACAAATACACTAGTAAATATCCCAATAAATATATAAAATTTACACACAAAGAACTCACTATTGTTATAAAACTTCAAATTCAACATATTTTGAAAATCTGAATTCAGAATAATTCGAATTAGCTAAAGTTTAATCTAATAGCGTCGAATATAATTCTATAAAAGGAGTAAATAAAATAAAGAATATATATGTAATTGATTGAACTCTTAATATTAGAATTCTGAATAGCTTCCATTTCAACTTTTAAGATTACTAAGTAATACATCCATTTTATAACCCTTTTATAACTGTTAAAAACTCTATAAATGTTTAATTTATATTCAATTTAAATATTTATTCGAAAGAATTATAGCCTAAATTAAAATCACAAAAAGTAAATTCGCTAGTTACAATATGGTTGAATATCCGATATAGAACTAACCTAAATTACCCTAATTCCCTATAAGGGGGTTTTTGATTATTAAAGCGAAGTTATAAAGAGTGAATAGCTAAGCGAGATGATTTAGACGATCGCATGTGAGTGTAAATGATTTAATGAAAGGAAATGAGTACTTTCGAATAAGTAATTGAATGTTCTTGTTTTATTTTTATATTTATAAGGGACTGTTTTATCTTTATGTTTTTAAGTTTGTTTTATTTCGTAACTGTATTTTGAAATAATTTGTTAATTTTTTATGACTTTAGATGAATTTCGTCAGATTGCGGTATATAAATACAAAGCGGGATAACTTAGTGCCAGAATGACTAGTTATTCCACATGGATAGATTAGTTGTAGGCTGGCACGTTCAATTCTGAAATCATACAAACTTATGAGTATATTATACTATGGTTTATACACTATTTTATTATCGATTTAGCTACCTACGATCAGATCAAGGCAACGAAGTAAACCGACAGAGCAACCTCTCCTTTCTAGATCTCATGAGGACTAAAAAAAAATCTCACATAACCGGACAGCAGCCTGCACCATTCTCCTTCCTCGTCCTCCCCTTTTCAATCTTTCCCCGTTCTCGCACTAAACTCTATTTTCTGCGTACCGCCTCGTGCGTACGATCGCGTCCTGCGACGATCCCGTGATATGCACCTTGATCTAACAAGCAATGATTACAGCTTCTACGGATATAGAGCTCGCGAGATTCGAAATAGGGACAGTGGTGGGGATCGGCGGTGGGGGAACACGGTTGTGGGTGGTGCGTTGTGTGTCCGCAGGTGTGGATGTGTTTGATTGAGAGACACATTTTTGGGGTTAGTTGGGTAGGTTAGTCTTTGGTGGCTGGATGTATGGGAATGAGATAGATGTGTAAGGAGTAGTTGGAAGAATGGGTGAAGCTCGTATATATGCTGAAGGATAAATATCTTTCAGGGTTGTTCTGATGTTGTCCTGTGATATGGTGGAATGTTTTGCGAATCTGATGTAAACGGAGAAAACATCAAAATTATCTTAATACAAAACTGCACAAAAGCAATGACTGCATAGATAGCAAGTTTCCCACTTGTTGCCGTTGAGTTCTTGAGCGGGTGAAATGGGGGTTGACCACGTGACTTATGATCGATTCAATATTGGTGACATGTGCGGTTTACCTAAGTAGGTCATGTTTTAATCATTTAAATATGATTTATTTTATAATTTCAAAGGTTGAAAGCGTCTATGGTCAAGAAACATTCATGTTTGTTCTTATGTCTCGCTTCTCACGATTTCTTGATAGCCGCTACTTCTCACTTTCATTAATGTTTTTGAGGTTGGCCGCCGGTGTCCCCGTGATGTCAAACCATGCAGAGCAGAGATTCATGGTACCAGAATTCCGCGAAGTGTCTGACATGTAGGCGTAATAGCCATCTGTACAATATTTGTTGGTATCGTCACATGTCACAGTAAATTCACAGTTAGAGCCATCTTTCATAGCGACAACATTACCGTATTCGTTCGCAAGCTGCGTAATGATGTTAGCACCGGAAATGAGATCCGATGGGATGAAAGCAGAGGTATAGAGGGCGCCGATGGTGGAATCAAGGTTTGCTTGGGCGTATGAGGCCATGCTGGCAGCGACAGTGAGCTCGGCATTTATGATGCTCTGATCTCGAGAAGAGCAACTGGGGCCAATGGTATATTGGCATGGAAATAGATGTGTTCTATGAATTGCATCTGATTAGATATATGTGTCTTAAAGTCAAAGTTTAACGAACGAATAAAAAAGGGCCCTAAATACTCTCTTTTCTGATACTCCCAGTTCCCAGTGGAATTAATTGCATCGTATGATTGTTCATACCCATGATTATGGTCTTTGTCGCCGTGGGCAGTTACTGGCCCGGCCAGCCAGGCTAAGTAGGCGAAGAGGAGTGTCACTGAGAACGAAGAACTATACATTGTTGAGAAAGGAGCTTTTGCATAAAACCATGTGAACGTAAAGAATGCTAATAGATATTCATTTGAAGAAGATTCGGTCATTATATAGACAGCTTTCTACTTCCAAGGTGGTCCCAACTCTCAACTTCAAGATTTGAAAGATTGAAATTTGTCAAGAAATTGTGACATCTGGCAAGACTCGTAGAGCAGTCGCAACATATCCCAACATAGCCACCTCATATACGGCGTATTTGACGGCGTATTTGTTGGTAGGAAGGAAAGGATTTTGCAAAGTAGATCAACAGGAACGAATAGAAACAAATAAATGGAAAACAAGTAATCGAGTTGCTTTGGGAATCAATTCGTGGAACTTTCGATCTACTTAACTATCATTAGTAGTAGCCAGCCTTGATGATACTCAGGATACAGATATTACTGAAGATATCCTTTACTTTCAACGTATCTTTTCTTTGATGACATTATAAATTAAGTGACATCTTGCATTAAAATTAGAGATCAGATTATATTCATCTCAGACGAGGCAGATAGTTCAGCCACCAAAAGTTATAACATAGCCTCCTCACACTCAGCATAAAGCTCAGAAAACTAGAGAAGCTATTAATGGAACATGAAATGTACCGTATCAGAACGCAGTAGAAGAAAGCACTTCATTCAAACAATTGGTCTTCGAATACAATGTAACACCTACAGCCCTATAGCGAGAGTCCGTGCATAACGAGATCAATCCCCTGTAATGGTAGGGCTTAATTCTGCATCAATCCAGTTGAAACAATTTGAAACGAAACATCAACAGTTGGGATTACGCCACTGAAATAAGCCAATCAAGCCACCTTTTTATTGTTGATATTGGTGCCTAGATGAAGTCTCTACGGCACATGGAAACCTCAGAGTGATTTTGTTACATAAACTGTTGGACAATTCTTCCGGTAGGTTTTAATGTGTGATTTCTCGCGCGGATGAAAACATGAGATCACATCTCAGTTTGTTTCGTTGAGGATGATAGCGAGCATCGAGATCTTACTTGCTAAGGAAGGAGGGAGGCAAGAGCTTACGATTCGCACTAGTAGAGACACATATAAGCCTTGTCTATCGCCTTAAAGGTTCGGGGTTCTTACAACCGCTTATTTTTGAAGCATTATTTCGAATATCGTAGTCAATAATATCATCTATTTATCGCTTATTGTTACCTAGGTATTTATCGCTATTGTGGTATTGGATACAATCCAAAGCCTGGTTTCACAATTCATGAGCAATCAGCAATTCCAAAGAATAAACTCACCAGCTTCACTGATCTGAATCAACCTATCAAGTAACTATACCTCCACCTTTCGATGCTCAACTTTTCAGCCTCTTTTTAGAAACCCAAAATGTCCACCCCACCCACCCACCAACTTCCGTTTGACTACATCCACCTCCTCGACGCACACATCGCCTCCCTCCCAGCAAACTCTCACCGCATTCCACAGCAAAAAGCCCTTCGCACCCTTCAATCCGCAAGATTCTATTCTCCTTCACAACACATTGCTTCTCCACAACTTTTCTCCGTCATCTCCTCGCCCTCTACTCTCACCATTGGCTCTCCATACATTATCACCATGAAGCTTCGACACGTCGAGAACCCCTCTGGAAATCCAAATTCTTTGCCTGTGGTCTTTGACATGAGGGAGTTTGGTCTAACGCTAAGAGAGAGAGAGACCAGTAAAATGTACAACTGGATCATACTGAGACAACGGAGTCCAGGCTCTATCGAAGATGGAAGACAAATAGAGGGAGAGGAAATTGATTTATCACCCTCAAACCCAACACCCACAGAATTTGGTTTCCCAATCTTCGCAACAGATTCTAATTTTGAACTCAACGAACTGCAACTCAGCGTGATAGAAAAAGAAGAGGAAGAGTTCATATCACTGGCGGTTGGTGAGAGTAGAGCGTTCAAAGTAAAGTGGGCGTTGACTGAGGAGCAAGAGGAGAAGATGGAGGTGGGCGAGAAATATAAGTTATGTTATAGAGGGGGATGGAATTTCTGGTGGGATTTTGGGACGGTGGAAGAGATGGAGGAACAAGAGGGCAGGAGAAATACGTCGAGGAATCAGAAAGGTGGCGCGCAGCGTTTGTGGATTCCCTGTACAAACTTGGTAGAGTTTGAAGTAATCGAGGAGGAAGAGGTTAAAGTTCAAGACAAAGATGAGTAGACTGCCAAGGCTTGATTAAGAGTCAAAGAATCGATTGACAGCCGTGAGCAACTTGGAAGACCTCTGATACATACTTGGCGATTGGAAAACCTCATACTGTGGGGCAATTAGAATGATACGGAAGTTTGGCAATGTCATATATCATGAGAGAATCTACACAACATTACCAAAGAGCAATCTTACTTGATCATTTTCATTAACAAACTCATATTGAGAACTTCCTCCACATTCAGCTTCTTACCCAATTCTACATTAAGTAAAAATGCCGTCTTTTCTATGACAAGCTCTGATGTATCGTGAGATCAAATCCTCAATTATTCAGAAACTACGAAGATAGTGATGCCAATGAAAATAAAGTAACGAGTAGGTATTGGCGGGCGAGATGTTCTATTGATAGGGTGGTGATGCATCTGTTCAAACTAGACATGCTTATAACACCACATTAGTACTTCATATCTTATAACCGTCATTGAAAATAAGAGGGTCTCAAAGCATGGCCTATAACACAGGAAATTTGAGTAAGATCAGAGTAACATGAATATCCGAAAGCCAAGCAGCAAGCTGACTACATAACAATAATTATCATGGTCGATTGAAGTTCAATCGTTACTATGAAACAAATCCCCAAGGGAGAGGCTGAGCAACGGCCAAACGGACCGCGTCTACAGAGCAGGAGAGTACGAGCTATCAGAACATTTGGATTGGATGAAGTAAATTTTGTTCATCCATTGCTAGAATATCTATAAGCTAGCAAGAATCCGCCAGTGTGAAGTATCTTGAGCTAGCAAAATAATTAGAGGACCTGCCTTGAGTTTTAGAATTGTATGATTTTTTGCTCCCGGCAGATCTACATCACTTTGAATGTCTCAGTTCCGTAAATATATAAATCCTATCCAAGCAAATGTAGTTTTATCTTTTTCTCCGATTCAATCGAGAAACTATCATCTGAAGGTGCGAATTCGAGTTATAGATTTACATAAATTACTGAATATTTATTCACCTAGAGATATCTAGATCTCCTGTCTAAAAACAAACCAAGCCATTCAACTATCAAAAATCTATCGTTGAGCGTAACATATCTACATCACTCAAAGATCCTCATGTGTAAATCACTCAATCTCCAAGCGACCTTGACAGAAAGTATCTCTCCAAATAAATATCTATAACTATACTATCAAACCCGGAACCAGGACGAAAGCTGTTCAAATCCAATCCTAAACATCATAAAGAGTAATTTCATCCACGAATTTAGACGATGATGACCATAAGTTATAACCTGGCTGGGTAGGTATCATAAAGAGGTAGTTCACTGACAACACTAGATGAAATTTGTGAAAATAGCTTATTTGAGAGAGATACCAGATCTCATATCTTGCATTCCTAACCTAATTTGACCGAGACCAGCCGGTCTCTCAATAGAGCATAAAATATCTCAATAAATACCATCCATAAGAACTCACGAAGATCCTCTCACGCCCAATCAACCCATCCAACACCCAGATAATCCCCCAACTCCTCTTTTGCATTGATCAATTGTACTCTCCACCATATTTCTGCCGTCTAATCAACCAAAACCCGACTTCACAAGCTCAACTACTCCTCATTGATGTAAATGTCTCTGAATGAACTCCCAAACCATTTTCACAACTTCCGATTCACGAGATCCTTCTTCATAGCAAGAGAATTTAACCAAATAGACTTGAGCGACTTTTTTAAGGGGTGTATCTGCTTTGATGGCTTCTTGGATGATGAACTCAGCCAATAGATCGACTGGGATCGGCAAGACTTGCATGCCTATTGTAGGATCGTAGGTTAAATACTGCGTTGTATATTCACACCAAGATTTACAGATAGCGTTGGTAGAAGGTATTCTGACCGAGATTGCTTGACCAGATAATGGCTTGGTAAATTCTAGTGGGCTCAATGAGAGACGCGATAAGAGTGCGCCAGTGGAATCTACGGCGCAGGCAGAGGCTCCACAGTTTGTGCCAACAACGGTTGAGGTACCAATAGATTGTTTGACTGTGCTAGAGGTTCCGACTGCCAAGGTGGTATGCTCATTGATTTCAGGCAATCGTGGCTGAGTAGCATTCGATGTCTGTCTGTGAGGGACTTCAAAGGGTTAGTTATTAAGACACACTAGAGTACGTTGGTATCAAATAAATAGCTACTCACCAGAAGAGCTTTCCTTGGGGCGAAATGTAAGTGCAGAATGATCCATCTTTACACTGTCTAAACTCCAAATTGTAGTTGAGATAGGAGAAACGTTTCAAGGGGAAGCAACGTAGCGGCAAGTTTCCTTGATTCTGGCTGTGACAGGATGGATAGAAAGAAGAATCAACAAGTTATTAGCAAGACAGTTGATTCTGGTTGAAATCGATGATTGTAGAGTAAATTTCCACATCGCCAAATTCTATATCCATCGAAGCAGATGAATTCAGGTCACGTGATTGATCAAATCAATAATCAGTCCAGCCTTGCCAAGTAACGACATGACCAAGAGATCGGTGAATAACTACCAGCATCTGGGGAGACTTTCATATCCAAATCTTCTATTGTATAATGTCAACCAACATTCGTATACGCATGACTTTTACGATATAACCTCCCTGAATAGACGACAATGCGATTTGTAATGCCTTCAGAGAATTTGTGCGACCTTTCCAGGAGATGTTTTAATTATTAAAGCCAAGAAAACTAATGCTCCAGCGAACGTCGATCATGTTCCTGCATGATAATATACTAATTGCCAATAGCATCTTATTGGTGCGGTCGAACCAATCCTCATAAAGAGCGTGGCAATATCCCGGTATCAACAAGTCGACCAACGTGTACCAAATCTGTACAGCAGCGGACGTGTACGTGCGAAATAAGCCGGGTGAGAGGTTGTGTTCGGAAAATACCCGAGGGTTTCTGGAGGATGCTTTGCATATAAATTCGGCCATCATCTCAGTGAAGAAAAGTTATTCTTCAGAGCTGCAATTTATGTGCTTGAGAATATGGCTTTTCGAGGCAAAATTGACAACATGGCTCCTGTATTTTCTTCCAAAGGAGAAAAAAGAAAGGAACAGTTCAATAATATGATGGCGAAAAGGTTCGGTTCAAATGGCAGAGATGTGGCGGCTGAGCTGCGCACTATTGGTGAGTTCCCGGACATCGCATGCTCTTCTATCATGCTTTATCGCTGACCGTTACTCTAGCGGACGCCTTGGAAGAGACTCTCGAGTTCCAGCGTTTGATGGGCAAAATATTGAGAACAGAAGATCCGGAGGGTATGAAGTTTGATTGTTAAACAGCACTTGGAGACTTCAAACTAACGTAATAGCAGATCGACTCCTTTCGCAACTAGCGGATCTTAATTCCAAGGGCGATAAGGTAAATGGCGCGCTTAACGACCACACACCCCGGCTACCAACGCCATCTCAAGAGAGGTCTATGTCTAGAGATTCCCTACGTCGTACCAATCGGTCGGTAAACCTCAACGGAACGCATGATGGGCAATCAGATCCTAGATCATATGGAAGAAGTGCTGCGGAACGGCTACCACTAAATAGACACTTCTCTGAAAACGATGTTCCTCAAGAAATTGTGCGCCCAAGCTCCACGCAACCAGGTCGCTCAATGACGCCGCAACCCGCTAGGGCAGCAACCTTTCCCTCTATTAGATCAATGACGCCACAACCAGCCCCCACGAGTATTCATTTCCCCTATCGTTCAGAAGTTCGGCAACATAGCCAGCCACCGTATGCTCGTTCTTCTGGCTATACATCTATCATCGCTCGTGGTGTTCCAGATAGACATCGCAGTCGACCGCCACCCTCTCAGCGCTTATACGAAGTACCTGATCCCCCACAATCATACGGTTTCGATGTACCTCCGCAAGTCGACCCGAATCCATATTACCGACCCCAAATCACGTCCCCTGCTGAACGTGCTTCCCGAAGGGATCGTTTTCCCCGAATGTCCGAAGAACGTAGGGGGAGAAGAATGGAGCCTACTGTAAGACCAAAAGATCACGAGACAATATATCAGGTTGATTCGAATATCATTGAGCGAGAGTATGATCCCGAGAAAGACGAAGATGCTGAATCTATCGGATCCTTGGATCATGTCCAGTCGTTCGCATCACCTCAAACAATCAAACTTCAAAACAGAGTAACTTGGAATGGATCATTCAGATGACAAGGACCAGAGATTTGCAAGAAGACTTCTTCAGAAGTCACCCGTTGAAACTTCATCATCAACTCTACACTGGTTGGAAAGTGAAGCACCTACACTTTGTTCTGGGTGCCGTTGTCTCTCCCCTCTACATGGGCCTTTCACTCGCTTTCCTCTTCGTGGCGACTAAACCTGATACACGACTCATAGCAAAGAATGGTACTCTGATATATAATCAGGGCCACGCCAACTATTTTGACTTTCTATCCACAATTGCAGGAGGGAAATATCAAAAATCAAATGTTCAAAGGCTAGGCAAAGTGTAGATATAGCCACTAGTTCTATAACTGAAGCCTTCGAACCACCATAAATGGATTTGATAGAGCTGATGGGTGGATCAAGTGTCTTTGGATTGTCATTGTACAAATAAGAATGTGTAGATTTCCTGAGGTCTTGAGAAGAGCAGTTGTAGTTGAGTTTGGTTCTGAAGGCATCTTCGGGCCGACAATCACCCGAAAGTCCGTGCAGGAGAGTGTTCTTGGCTATTATTTCTTAGAGAAGTAGTTCCTTCAAGGAGCTCATCAGATTATACAACACAATGTAGTTAATTTCTTTATCTTTGGAATATGTTAAGTTTCTTAGACAGCAAATCACTAGTGAAGTCTATTAATATCATCTTGTAACGCAGTCCTTGATCCAAGATCGACAAGTTCTACATATTATCGGTTTTAGCAATGTAAGTAATATAAGTATTTGTAATATGACATGAAGCTGAATATCCAATCCTGAATTAAGCGATCGTCGGTAGATATTTCTTCACGGTTTTTGGGTAGTATGTCTTGAACATTCTTGTACACGTCAGGAAAGGGCCAAGAGATATGGTGGGTAACACAACTTCGTTTGATGATCGCTAGTTACACTGAATGTCACGGTGAAAGAGCCTGCTGGACCTTTCTAATTCGGACATCTTGGATATTAGATCAATCTACTAGTTTCATCGTTCATTCTGACCAATCCTGTATGTATGGATAAATCAGGCCATCACACGTAGTCCATACCTTGAGTGAGCTGTTTGTGTCAGAATCTTTCAACCCTCCTATAAATCGATCCTGATGTCTTGGACATACAATACCGGGCCAAGTATTCATCATGAGATGGGCAAGCAGATGAAACATTGGATAGCATACTCGGGAATGTGAGAAGACACGACTTTCTGAGCTTCCTTGTTTCTGACTAGTGAATAGTCAGGCTCAGAAATGAACTTTCGGATCTAGAGCCCGGGTTACAAAGCCCCTGATGGTTTCATGATGACTCTTGGAAGGCAATAAAAACGAAGTGACGAGGAAAATTTACATAAAGTTGGAAAAGAGTGAAACCCACCTACCTACAACGCTTCATACTCACCAGGAATAAAAGGGGAAGTGTATTGTGAGGGGACGATCATTCATAATTGCTATTTCGGAAACCCAATAGTCGGCTTCGTAAAATATGCCCCCCATTCCCTAAGACCCTTCATCGGAATATGCAATGCCCTCAGGATGACTGATTTCGCCTTACTCCCCAACAATTCATGGTATCATGTTCCGCCATACTGTAGTCTCATTTGTCCAGTCTCTTAAGCAGTGAAATCATTTGGCCAGCACTTCTCCTTGGTCCATCCCTTGTCTTCGTGCTTTGCAGCATGGCTTATCAATTGTGCCTTGTTTGTGTTGACCAATTCCATCTTGCAGAACTCGCACTATTGGCGGAATTAGCCTCGAATACAATGAAAGAACGGTAAGGATTCTGAGGAATGTCGCAAGAAATATCTAAGTTGGAGACGTACTTTTGACTTTGGTGCGGCTGGTTTAACTGGAAGGCCATTTGCCTTGACCGGGGCGCGGGTGCCTTCCTTATCGGCCTTCTTGTGCTCACGAGCGATCTGTATGCCGAATTAATAATTGCTCTTTAAGTGTTGCCAATGATCAAGATATACGCACTCTGTCTTTCTTTGAAATAGGCATAGTGAAGGATAGACTGGTGAGAGTGAAGATAAAAAGTTGATGAGTGAGATTGAATGTAAATTTGAACTTTGCGAAAAAGAAAGATTAACCTATCATTGAAAACACTAGCCTAAAAATTAATGCCGGTGAAAAAGTCACACCGCTCGGAAGTTATTTTCCCCGATCGAGCTTTGTACTTAGTCAGCATTTGTTCTCTAGTTGATCTAATCCTCTTCTGTTTTGAATTTTATCTTTAAGAAAGCCCAAGATATAACAATCTGTATCAATGGAAGTCTCCAGAGAAGATTACAACTCATAGACTCAGTCATCTCATTAATAAGTGTTCCTTGTTGAATAAATGAAGCTTAACTCCCTGGCTGTAGGCCAATCGAATGTCACGCGATGTGAATCTCTTGTCAAAGTCGCCGTCGAGTTCTTATGCTTCCCTTTGACACTCTCTCCGTTTTATGGCTCTGGAAGAATTTCTCGAATCCAGTGGATTCAGAGCAGCACAAAGTTTGTCTCACTAAGTGGCTAGATCTTGATTGTCGCCTGCTGATTTCAGATTGTGGACACACGAGAATCGTTCCGCGGCACGCTGAATTGGGGGACATAATTTGCATCTTTTTCGGGTGTTCAATATTGGTCACTGTTCGCAAAGTCGATGATCATTATAATCTGATTGGCGATGGTTGTATTCAGGGGATTATGGAGGAAGATTTTTTGAACCGATGTATGATGGCCTACTTCGGACAGAAATATTCACTCTGCGCCGATCTCGAAGGTAGATAGAAGTTTTGGCAGGCACCTCGCCCGCTCGAATCAATTGAGAATTCAAGCCGAAGAGTTGAAGCATAACAGCCACCACAGTTTCTATCCATTGCCCTTTGGACATTGATATGTCCCGCTCTCAATTTTCGAATTTCACCACATTCCTTTCGTCTTACACAACCTGCCAATCTCATCATTCAACGCATCGCTCATTCTACCATCCCATCTTGCATCCTCTATCTCCTTCTTCGCCCATAATACCGTCGCCCAGTCGGCCTAGTTCTTCATCTCATTCCATCATTCATAATTCGCTCCACAAGACATACCCTTAAAATCTACGTCTTCCCGATAAGAATTTTTAAGACAAGAGCCAGCACCAGGTATTACAGCTTTTGAAGCTGCTTGTCGCTCGGTGAACGCTACAAATTAGGGGAGTATTTCAATATCCTTCACGTCTCCAGAAATTCTGCAAATTGCATGCCTAATGATCCGATGGTTGAGACATACTGTTCCGTGCTTTGGATGGTTGTCCTAAAAGGGGTGATGGGAAAAATAAGAACATACTACCCATCCATGGCTTTTTATAAGCAGGTAGTACCGCTTAGTTAAAAACGAGGATGCGATGGACCATATATCTGAAGTCAGCCAAACAAGTCGCCATAGTATCGCTAAATGTGCAAATGACGCAATAACTTTCTCGGGAGAGGACACGCACAAAGAATATCAAGACTTCAAAATAGTAGTGAAGATGGGTTAGATAAACCTCATTTGGTGATACAATATATTTAAAAAACGAACATAAAGAATTTAAACAGCTAAAACACCCACTTGCTGACTCCCGATCCAAACTAATCCCATGTCTCTCCCCTCTTTCTTTCTCTCCAGCAACCTCCTACCATCATTTTGTATCCTTACCCCACTCAAACCTTGAAAGGCTCTACCTTCTGCACCCCCGAGTAAACAATCTTACTCGTCATCGCCGGCGCCGCCGCCTTGGTACTCGAAGGCTTAACCGAAGTCGCGAGTGTACTCGACGCTTTAACACTCGAAGGTGTAGCTTTCACACTCGTTGCAATCGAATTATGAGCGCTCGACGTCACACTTGCGCCTTTACTCGAAGAAGTCACCGAAGCAGGGTGTGTGGAAGATCTAATAGCGGATGTGGATGTGGATGTAGATGTAGAGATAAGTTTCACACCACTGCTGCTTGAAGATTTAACCTCAGTGGGTCCTGCTGCAACGACTGAGGTACTGGTGCCTCCATTAGTTGCTTTAATACTCGACTTAGCACTGGCAGTAGCTTTGGAGGAAGATCCGCTCCCACTTCCACTTGCGTTGACGGTAGTATAGATTCTTGTCGTGGTCGAATCCACAATCGTCGTAATCGAGCCTGAAGCCGATGGTTTCGCAGAAGTAATGCTCGTCTTTGAACTAACATCGCCTGTGCCCGAAAGACGAAAACTTCCGGTTGCAACAGGATGGGTGCCATTTTTGGCCGTTCCAAATGCTCCAGTTTCCGATGTTGCTTTTCCGGAAACAGATGGGGTGACTTTAGAGGTGATTGTTCCACTTGCTTTGGAACTTTCTTTTGTGCTAGTACCTCCATTGGAGATAATTGGCGCGCTTGTTACTCCTGTTTTAACGCCTGTAGGGGTTGTGGTTGCGATAGCCGCTTTTGTGCTTGAGGATAGAGGAGTATTGGTAACGACGCTTCCTATACCAGTAGAGGTGGTACTTTCTGTACAGGTGGTATCGATGCTGGATGATGCACCTCCTGTTACGACGGCGGTAACGGTAGAAGGAAGATGAGTGACGGTTGAAACATGTACACTTGTAATCTCACTAACCGCTGTAGCGGGATATCCTGGAATACCGACCCCACCAGTGACTGTTTCTAAGACTGTTGCTATGACGGTTGCTGTGTGAGCGTACTCTTGTCTTTTTTCGTTGTTTTTGATCTTCATTTTGTCAGTAATGAGATTAAGATCTGGGTTGATATCAGAGGAGGAACCTACAGAGTCTGGAGAGACAGATCCAGGGTCTAGTTGATCAGCAGGAGGAATCGTCTTTCTCTTCTCTACAGTTGTAATAGCATCCGGAGCCATCGATCCAGGATCTAATTGATCCACAGGAGGAATGGTTTTCCTTTCCTCCAATTCCCCAACATCTCTAGGAGTGACCGGAACTAGTTTCTCCAATTCTCTCTTTGAATGGCCAGATACAACAGGAACGAGTTTCTCAAGATCTCTGGGCGTAACCGGTACAACAGGAACGAGTTTTTCCAGCTCTCTCTTCGAATGGCCAGCTATAACAGGAACAAGTCTCTCCAAATCCCTCCCCGTAATCGGAACAAGTTTCTCCAAGTCCCTCCCCACAACTGGCACCAACACTTCCACCTCTCCATTAGATCTCTTCTCCTGATCCAACGTCCACGAAGTAAGAGACTCCGCGTCTCGCTTGAACTGCGTGACCGGAACCAATGTCTCCAACTCTGCTGCTCTCTTACCCACTGAAGTGAGCGGAACCAGTTGTTCTACATTAGCCCCCGTGTTGACCGGGAGTGCTGAGATCTGGGGTTAGGGGTATTAGAATCATTTTTGGAAGAAAATATACAAGTTGATATCAGACAAGGGACGAAAAATGTATCTTACCAAGTTCGGTAAAGCAATCAGCAATAACGCTGCTGCTTCTCCCATTGTAAGACGCATATTGAAGTAACTGAATCTAACCCTCAAGACCTCTTTCTGCAGAATGAACTAAGAGGCAAAAATAACACCTTCGAATAAATATATCTGAATCTTTAAAATCTCTCAAAACTGCAAAAGATAAGAAAGCTTTTCACGAAATGAGTGTACGAAGAAAAAATAATGAATGAATGCCACAACTTAGTAAAGAGCGACAAATTGATTTTGCGACGTAAAAAAACTGAACACTTCAAAATCACCACAAAAAGATAAACCACAAAAATCAACAACGAAGAATTCTCAAGGAAAACAAAAGAAAAAAGTGGATAGAAGAAATAAAACATATGATATACTCATCATACCTCCATGCCTACATACTCTTCCCTCCCATTTCACCCGTCAGCAACAGTGTAACCTCACCCCTAGGATCAGAAACCATAATTTCCTGAACAAACAGGGCATATCTCCTTCCATTAGCATATCATCGCATCCCATCAGTCAAACAATCATCCATCTTCCCAGCACGTCGAATATCAATTTCCCTTTGTATATTCCGGAAATCCTCATTCTTTCCTTACCATTTCCATTTCCTCAGCGACGACAAATGAGACAATTTTGTCCTACCTACCTAGGACCCTACCTACCCACAGACTCTTAGCTACCATCCATCCTCTCTCTTGACCTCTCCGCCACGAATCATTCATTCCTACCATCTCCCACATCATCTCGCACACCATCACCTCCCCCATACCACACACCTCATAACCCCCTCCTCCATCTGACCAACCCCCTCACAACTTCACCATACCATATACCATACCATACATCAAAACCCCATCACCTCAAACCCTCAAACCCTCATTCAATCACCATCACCATCCACTTGCCCCCCCCCACCAAACCCTCCACCTCAAAATTCCCCATCAGTAAGCCGCAGGATTCTCAAGGCTCAGCACGCATTCCCACCACCAACCTTACCTATCTTTAATCCCATCCCATCTCATCTCATCTCATCCCATCCAACTCCATTCCTCACTCCCTTCCTACAATCTCCCTCCTGAAACCTCTTCTTCCCTTTCCCTTCTTCCCTCTATATGATTACCTACCTAAAATCACTTCAGACCAGACCAGGGATACCATTCGTGGCGGTGCACACCACATCCATCCTACCCGTGCCATGAACCTCTACATACACCCAATTTCATAACTAGCTTCCAAAACGTGATTTTATGGTCTCACAACCTTTTTGATGAAAACGATTAATAATAAAATCCCAACTTTATCAATATAGCTTCAAAATCAAAAATCTCTATACCAAATGAAAGCGATCAATTGATTCAATTATTATTCAAAATTTGAAGCGATTCAGACTTATATTGATTGATTGGTAGGTGGTTTAAAACAATGTGATATTTCGAAGGTTTTAGTAAGCGAAATAGGTTGATCATAACTAGCTTCCATTCAGTTTTTAGATTTTCGTTCTGAAATTTCAATCTCAATCAATATGATCTAGAATCAAACGAAATTTAGACAAATGATAGAGTCAATCATTCTCTATTATATGAT